CAGGCATATAATATAGTACAATATAGTGATTCAGCAATTCCATATATTATTCAGTGCTCATCAAGATAAGTGTACTCTTAATCCCTTTACCTTCATCCCCCATCCGCCTCCACCTCTCCTCTGGTACTGTTGGTTTGCTCTCTGTAGTTAAGAGTCTGTTTTTGGTTTGTCTTTTTTACCCCCTTTGTTTTGATTCTTAAATTCCTCAAATGAGTGAAATCATATGGTATTTGTCTTTTTCTGAATGACTTATTTCACTTAGCATTATACTTTTTAGATCCATCCATGTTGCTGCAAATGGCAAGATTTCGTTCTTTTTTATGGCTGAGTAATACTCGATCATATATATGTATGTGTGTATGTATACATACATACACACACACACACACACACCTACACATACCACATCTTTACCCATCCATTTATTGACGGACACTTGGGCTGCTTCCATAATTTGGATATTTTATTTATTTTATTTTTTTAAAAGATTTTATTTATTTATTTGACAGAGAGAGAGACACAGCGAGAGAGGGAACACAAGCAGGGGGGAGTGGGAGAAGCAGGCTTCCCGCGGAGCAGGGAGCCCGATGTGGGGCTCGATCCTAGGACCCTGAGATCATGACCTGAGCCGAAGGCAGACGCTTAACGACTGAGCCACCCAGGTGCCCCTAATTTGGCTATTTTAAATACTGCAATAAACATAGGGGTGCATGTATCTTTTTGAATTAGTGTTTCTGTATTTTGGGGGGTAAATACCTAGTAGTGGAATTATTAGATCATATGGTAATTCTATTCTTAATTTTTTGAGGAATCTCCATACTGTCTTCCACAGTGGCTGCATGTTTGCATTCCTACCAAGAGCTTACAAGGGTTCCTGTTTTTCCACATCTTCACCAACACATGTTGCTTCTTGTGTTGTTGATTCTTACAGGTGTGAGGTGATAGCTCATTGTGGTTTTGATTTGCATTTACCTGATGATGAGTGAGGTTAAGCATCTTTTCATGTGTCTGTTGGCCATCTGTATGTCTTCTTTGGAAAAATGTTCATGTCTTCTGCCCATTTTTAAATTGGGTTATTTTTGGGGTGTTGAGTTGTGTAAGGTCTTTATGTATTTTGGATACTAACCCCTTACCAGATATGTCATTTACAAATATCTTCTCCCATTCAGTAGGTTGTCATGTCTTTTAGTTTTGTTGGTTTCCTTTGCTGTCCAGAAACTTTCTATTTTGATATAGTCTCAGTAGTTTATTTTTACTTTTGTTTCCCTTGCCTCAGGAGATTTGTTGTATCTTTCAATGTCCCAAATAATATATGGAGGTAGAAAAGTGTTATAAGTCCTATTATAATATGAGGAAATTAGCATTTATTGAATGGCCACTTTCAGATTTTTCATAATTTTCCACTGAAAATTATTTTTTAAAGATTTTGCTTATTTATTTGAGAGAGAGAGATCACAAGCAGTGGGGAGGGGTAGAGGGAGAAGCAGACAGGGAGCCTGATGCGGGCTCAATACCAGGACCCTGGGATCATGGCCTGAGCCGAAGGAAGAACCTTAATGGACTGAGCCAGCCAGGCACCCTCCACTGAAAATTATTGAGGGAAAAATGGAGTCCCAGAGAAGTTAAATAATTTGGTGTAGGTCCCGAGAAGGCTGGTACTGAATCAGGATGGGAATTCTACATATAAAAACCATGTGCTATGTGCTCATCCTGGAAGAGATCCTTTACGAAAAAAGGCTTCATTTATAATGTACTTACAAAAGTGTTAGTCATTTTAGAAAATTTTTCAACTGAAAATTCAAAGCACAATAATTTTCTGCTCAGCCTTCATATATCCAGGATGTTATTCCCTAGCATTAATCAAAGTGTAATATAAAATTTGAGTTAGGGCCATTACTAAGAGAATTTGGCAACTAGGGCAGATTACAAGGGAGAATTCTTGCAATTGTCATGTATATTTGGTTATGTAATTGTTTCACATAGAAGTCTGGTGCACCCCTAGACGGGGAAAGAAAGAGGAGAGATGTCACAAAAGAGTAGAATGGGGTCAGGAGAAGAGAAGGGCCAAGGGAGTATGGTTGCCAGGTTGCCAGCCTTTCACCTGTACTGCCTCGATGATGGTGGAGGGGCAGTGTGGGAAGTGGAGATATGGACGAGGTATTTGTACAACAGCTGAAAGGCATCACCTTGCTTCGTCTCATCAGCTGGCCGCCTGATCTCTGTGGTAATAGAGGCTCCCGAAGTGTAGCATCAGAGATGACCACCTTTCTCTGCTGTAAAATAGAGGAGGCTCTACTTTGCCTTTACTAATAGGCCTGTCTTTTTTTTAGAGGATCTTTCATGTAGGTAATTCTCATAATACTTGTGAAAGCATGTAAGAACCAGTACCCCTGTTTGTAGGGAATTGGAGTGAGCAATGATTTGGAATACAAGAAATTCAATTTACACATTTACAGGTAAATTCTAATTATAGACTCAAGATTTATAGACTCTTTCTAAGGCATCCAGAATTCCCTCATCTTTGAAAAATAAATAAAAATACAGATAATAAAAACAACAGTAAGAACAGCTACACTTCTAGGACTTACTATGTGCCAGAAATTGAACCTCTTTATATATATTGTCATTCAGTCCTCCCAACTCTGTGAGGGTATTTTATTCCTTGACTTTTCTATTTAAAAGTGTAATCCCTTACCCTGTACTCCTTGTCCCTCTTCTCTGCTTTTTCTCTGTAGAAAAATATCACTCATATGTAACTTATTTTATTATCATCTATCCCTTCTGCTAGCACTCTCTGACTTCCCCCCAGCCCTGTCCCTACTGATTAAAGGCAGGAGGTCAGTTTTGTTCCCTTTTGTATCCTCAGTGCCTAGAACAGTACCTGGCACATAGTAGGTGTGAATGAATGAATGAGTCTCTATTTTAATTATACAAGATCATACAGTAATAGGACAGTTATGGGGCATTGAAATGAGTTATAAAATCTTTGATGAAGCTAAAATTCTCTTAGCATTAGATAAACTATATCTCCAGGAGTGTGAAATGACCTTAAGTCCTTGGTTTTGATGATGCCTTCCCTTTTTCTAATCCCTAGGTCTTCCTTTCATAAGCCTCTGGGCTCTTAAGCTGCCCTGCAAATTGAATATTTTTTTCTCCATTTTTCATCCAGGAAACAGAAAAAATTACTCATCTTTTATTGTGAGATTTTTAATAGTGGCAAAACCCAGATTTGCATTTTATGAATTTTGTCTACAGCCTAAAGCTGTAGAAGCGGTGATACTTAGTGATATTTTAAACTCAAAGGTTTCAGTGTCTCCTTCTACTCTTTCCCTTCAGAGGGTAGATGACAGAGCAGTAGGCCCTACAAATGAGACTTGGCCCAAGATTACTCAGTAAGCCACTAATCCCAGAACTGCGCTTTCAGTGTATTTCTTTACCCACTTTACATGCGTGCGGGTGTGCGTATTCACCCCTCTACCCACACCCACCTCTAAGCTTAGTGATTTGTATGGCCTTTAATAGGAAATTTAATTCTGGAAGTGGTCAGGCAGAACATGAATGGCTAAGATCTGATGACTGATGGGGCTTGAGGAAAGAGAAGGAAGGAAACAAAAGTCATCAAAGAACCTCACATAGGCCCTTGCTGACTAGAAGAAGGGTGGTCCCACTCAGAGTATGGGTTATTGGAAGATAGTCAATTGCTTAACATTTTACCTTTTTTTCCCCCTTCCTTCTGGCCTAGAAAACCATACCCATGCTTTCTCTCATAATTGTATCTTATAAATTCCATTGATATTCCCTATTGTGTTCCGGCTCCGCTGGCGCTGGGTCACAGTAAGCTTTTTTTCCTTCCTGTTACTTTATGGACCTGTATGTCTTAGGTTTTCTGGTAATGTATCTTGTAGGGTTATAGAACAAATGATTACAAATTATTAGAAATAATTTCCATCTTGTTTCCTGCTGTATTCTTTCTTCTGCATTTTTAAAAGGGAATATTTCAAATATGTATTAAAGTGCATAAAAAAATATGAACCTCCATATACTCGCTGGCCAGATTTAATAAATAAAAACATTTAGTCATGTATCCTTCAGAGATTTTTATTTTTTTGAGAAATTAAAGCATTAAAGATCTAAAGTCTCTCCCCCCCCCCCTTTTTAAAGACGGGGGTGTGGAGGGGCAGAGGGAGAGAGAGAATCTTAGGTTCCACACCTAGTGCAGAACCCCATGTGGGGCTGGATCCCATGACCCTGAGATTATGACCTGAGCCAGAATTAAGAGTCAGATGCTTAACCAACTCAGCCACACATGTGCCCCTGAAGTCTTTTTAATTTTCCTTTCTCCCCCTTCCTCACCACTGTTCTGAGGTTGGTGTGAACCTTTTTCTTTTTTTTCCCACAGAAAAGTAATTTCTTAATGAATTTTTACCCATATTTTTAAACTTTTGAATTCAAAGGAATAGTAACTCATTTTGTGGTTTATCATAAATCGTTTCAGTGACTCCAATAGATTTTTTTGTCATTGTTGCCTTCTCATTCCTGGGTAGCAGTATGTTTTACCTTCCTATTGCAAGGACTGTGTTTACTATTTTTGGTCCTCTGATCTATCAGATGGGACGTTAACTGTGTTATGTATTTTTTTGTTGGTAATATTCCTGAAATATCCTTTAGAGAGTCATCTTATTCACCTTCAATAACCAGGGAGAGAGAAAGAGAAGAGACGAAGAATGATTTTATTTTTTTCAGGCCAAGTTATGATCTGAGAAACTGACATGATAAGCTACAAAAACTGAGGAGAAGCATATATTCAATGTGTAATAGTAGAACAAGTATCTCTTAGTTTAAAAATCTACACATTTTTGGTGCATGATATTCTTGTGGGCAGCAGCATGAAGAATTTAATGTGATACTGCAGTATGCTTGTAGTTAAATGTGAGCACAGTGCTTAAGGAGAAAATCTAATAACGACGATGTTGTTTGTTTTGTCAAAATATGTTGCCCAGCTCAAGAGTTTCCGATTTTGGAGAAGCAGAACTGGTTGATACATCTCCACTATATCCGGAAGGATTATGAGGCATGCAAGGTGAGCAATTGTAATGATACAGACCATGAGAGGCAGGCTTTGTTAGGCAACTAACAGAGTGTGTCACACAGATTTGTGGCAGTTTAGATCCCACTGATAATATATGAGTTCCTGTTTTCACACACTTTGTGTATTGGTTAGCTTTTGCCATGATAATGCTGCTTAACAACCTCAGAATTTCAGTGGCTTCCAACAGCAGACAATTATTGCCCATGGCTCTTCAGACTGGCTGTGGCTTGGCTGGGTCTGACTATAGGCTGGGGGTCAGGTTCAGGTGTGTCCCATGTGTCTTCTCATTTTAAGACCAGGGTGAAGGAGCAGTTGCTGTCTGGTACTTGTTGGTCCTTGGTGGATGGCAAATGTTCAACAAGCATAGTATTTAATTTTTTGATCTCTGGATAGGTGAAAAATGAAATTTCATTAATTCTCTTATTATGGTGAACTTGATCATCATTTGTATATTTAAAAACTTTGTATTTCCTTTTTCTCTGTACTGTATCTTTGATACATACTTGCTGACAGACAGTAGTATTAACATGCCAGATATAGCCTTCATATTCTTTTTGGCATTTGGAACTTTGTATGCTTCTAAGGCTGTGGTTTTAAATTTTGAACTGTGGCATTTGTGCCTATGGCAGCACAGAACTAGCAATATTTAGTACCAGCATGAATCTTAGAAGGTTTCTTTCTTCCCTTCTATGATATTATCCTTTTCTTGTTTCCCTTTTCCTTTTTTGACAACTTCTTCTGTTTCCTATTTTTGGCTTCTCTTCCTCCTTTATTTCTTAAGAGTTGGGGATGTTCCTAGGTCCTATCCTTGACCATTTTCTCTGTGCATTTCATGCATTTCCTCCTGGTCTTCAGACCAAGCTGATGCTTACTGATTCTTCACAGGCATTTCACATTCAGCTTTTCGTGTAGCTGAATTTATCTGCTTTCCTCCAAACCTATTCCTTCTCTTGTACCCTATTGCAGGGATAGGTACCATCTGTCTGTGTCAGAATCCCCTGACCCACTGTCCCTAATATATTACAGATAATCATTACGTTCTGGAGAGCCTGTCTACTACCCCTTGAAACTGTCCACTTTCTTCTCTCTCCAGGCCTTAGTTAATTTCCATCATTTTTGTTTAAATAACTGTGAGGATTCTTAAACCAACCTTGCCTCCTTCCCATCTGTTTTCAGCAGTGCTCCAAAAACGACTTTTCTATTAAGCAAGTAGAATCAGGTTACTTCCTGCTTAAAACTTACCAAGATTCTCTCGTTGCTCTCAACTTTTTTTTTTTTTTAAAGATCTTATTTATTTATTTGACAGAGAGAGAGACAGCGAGAGAGGAAACATAAGCGGGGGGAGTGGGAGAGGGCGAAGCAGGCTTCCCGCTGAGCAGGGAGCCCAATGCGGGGCTCGATCCCAGGACCCTGGGACCATGACCTGAGCCGAAGGCAGACGCTTAACGACTGAGCCACCCAGGCGCCCCTGCTCTCAACTTTTTTAGCATGGCATTGAAGCCCTTTTCTCCCTGACTCTTAGCCACCTCAGCTTCTCCTCCAACCCCTGCCAACACAGGATTTTAAAACTGTTGATTCCAGAAAGCCTTCCTTGAGTCTCTAAGTTAGACTCGGGTGCTTGTTCTCTGAACTCCTATCTCATCCTGAGCTTAGCCTGTCACAGGAGGAAGGTAGAGCCTGTGTTTCGCTATCAGAGAGCCCCTAGCATCTACAGTGATGCCTGGAAATCTTTTCATATTTTCCTTAGCTTGCCTGGATTCTAGATAAGGGTTGGCAAGCTTTTTCTGTAAGGAGCCAGATGGTAAGTATTTTGGGCTTTGTAGGCCACAGTCTCTGTTTTATATTCCTCATCTTCTCTTATTTTTTTATAACCCTTTAAAAATATGCAAACTACTCTTAGCTTGGGAGCTTTACAAAAACAGACTGTATGGCTCAGATTTGGCCTGTAGCCCATAGTTTGCTGACCCCTGTTCTATAGGGCTATTGTGGACACTGCTGTTATAAACATTGGCGTTCAGGTGCCCCTTGGAATCACTATATTTGTATCCTTTGGGTAAATACCTTGTAATGCAATTGCTGGGTCATAGATAGCTCTATTTTGTAACTTTTTGAGGAACCTCCATATTGTCTCCCACAGTAGCTGCATCAGTTTGCATTCCCAGCAGTGTAAGAGGGTTCCCCAACCAACATCTGTTGTTTACTGAGTTGTTAATTTTAGCCATTCTGACCAGTGTGAGCTGGTATCTCATTGTGGTTTTGAGTTGTATTTCCCTGATGCTGAGTGAGGTAGAGCATTTTTTTCATATGTCTGTTGACCATTTCGATGTCTTTTGGAGAAATGTCTGTTCATGTCTTTTGCCCGTTTCTTGACTAGACTTTTTGTGTTTTGGGTGTTTTGATAGGTTCTTTATAGATTTTAGATACCAGCCCTTTATCTGATAAGACATTTGCAAATATCTTATCCCATTCCATAGGTTGCCTTTTAGTTTTGTTGATTATTTCCTTTGCTGTGCAAAAGCTTTTTATCCTGATGAAGTGCCGATAGTTCATTTTTGCTTTTGCTTCCCTTGCCTTTGGAGACGTGTCTAGTAAGAAGTTGCTGTGGCCGAGGTCAAAGAGATTGCTGCCTGTGTTCTCCTCTAGGATTTTGATGGACTCCTGTCTCACAGCCAATGTCTACCTTTTCTTAAAAACACTTCAAGGCTCCGAACTGCTACTCAGAAGTATTTTTCTTCCTCTTTCAGGCTGTTATCAAGGAGCAACTTCAGGAGACTCAGGGCTTATGTGAATATGCTATCTATGTCCAAGGTAAGACATGTATTTCTTCTCTTCTTGCTAGAGAAATGAATACTTTGCCTAGGTTCTGAAAGAAGAGCAAACTACCTATGAAGCACTTTAAGTTCCAAATGTTCTACAAAGGTCTTATTGAGTATTATGTTGTTTGAAATCAGAACATAATTCTTGTGTGGGATTTGACATCAGAAATGACAGATTCTGTTAAAAAAATTTGCTGCTGTCCTTCCCCCCCATTCTCTAGTGTCTGGCTAGTGTTTTCAGAGTGCATGTTAGGGTCCCTGTCTCAGGCAGCAGCTTCAAGTCCAGAAGGGGCTTCTGGAAGGGCTCCTTGTAGTCAGGCTAAAAGAGATGAGGAAAGGCTTGAGGATTTTTTATAAGGGTGTTAGGATGAAGGGAAGAAACCTAGAGGTATAGAGGGTAAAGCAGAGAATAGATGAAATTTATCAGAAACCAAATATAGGAACCACTGACTGAAATTTTACTCTTTAGCATCTTTAGTTTTTCTAGGAACTTTCCTTTTGATTCTTTGGTGTAAATGAATGGTTTTGTTTACCACTCATTGGATTGGTAGCCTTCAGATTAATATACAATTTTCTGACATAATTTGTAAGATACTGACACATCTAGGATATCATGGCAAAAAAAAAAAAAATGCTCTTTTATTCCCAATATTACAAGTTCCGGACTCTCAGTGCCTCATAATACTTAAACATGTAAATTCTTCTAAAAACTTAAGCCTGGGAAAAATTACTGATTCAGTTTGGTTGCTATACTGAAAGCCAAGTCCAAAATATTAGTTCATTCGCAGCCAGAATCTTCTTGATTGCACTTTCCCTGTTTGGGTATTCTCTGGAAACCGCTGGATGGAGGTGGTTGGAAGTGTGGATTATCATGATGAATAGAGTGTTTGATGGGGAAGCCCAGGAATGTCCTTATTATGAAGAATTTGTGGGATAATTTTCAAGGCACCTGGTTATCTGCATGGTGGATGCTGGGAATGGAGTAGATCGGTTTATCTTATTAAAAAAAGTTTTAGATCGTTAACAACTTTGCTACTTGTTTCAGCCTACCTGAGGTCATATCTGATTGTGTTAAAGCTAGAATTATCCAAAGGATTTCTTTGGTATGATTTCTTAACTCCCTCTTCTCCAATTTTTCTGATACCAGACTCTGTTCTCCCCAGAATGTGATGATTTTTTCTGTGTTTCTGTTTCTTGGCAGCATTAATATTTCGCCTGGAAGGAAATATCCAAGAATCCCTAGAACTCTTTCAGACCTGTGCTGTTCTCAGCCCTCAGTGTGCTGATAACCTCAAGCAGGTGGCCAGATCTTTGTGAGTATTTGCTGCCTGCAAGCCCCGGGGCACTCCAGAGAACACTGTAGAATGCATTCTCAGGCAGAGGCTGCTTCTGGCAGCCTGATCAGCCTGATACATAGAGGGAGAGTTGCTCAATGGGATTCACTTTAAAGAGTGGATTGATTTTGAAATTTGAGAAAATGAGTTAACAATGAGTATTTCAAGCATTGTGTAGTGTAGTGTGATGGGGAAAGCCTGATACTGTTTATCATACAAATAGTGACATCTTGTTCTCTCAGTCCCCTAATCTTACTGGCAACCCGTAAAATTTCTTTCATCTGCTGTTCCAACACGTAGTATAATACTTGACATAGTAAGTTTTGTAAGTGTTTGTTGAGTGGATGTCCTGACAGTTCCTGGATATAGTCAACCTCTAGTCTTTATACGCTGTTAGGTACACCGATAGTTTTTCTACTCCTGAGCCATAAAGTATCCATGGAGTTCCCATCCCCACTTTCTTACCTACTGTCATACTTGCACTGTCTTTGCATAGAGGCCCTGATTGCCTTTGCCTCTCTTTTAGAACTGTGATCCAACATCAAGGCAAGAGATTTAGTCTTGGAAGGGGAGGGGATGTCCCTTAAGTAGATGGTGATGATGAATGCTGGCAGCTCTTGCTTAACTGGTATATATATATAAGCTTGTTTCTTTTTTGTTCTACATTTGTGGTACATTGCAGAAAATAACTTACAGAAGACTTTCACTAAATTTGGTGTAGAGTGAGACCAAGACCCAGGGACAGCGATTAGTGCAGCTCCTACCAAAAGAGCTTCTGTTATTGATATATGCCAGCCTCATTCGCCAAAACAGCACAGCTGGCTAATAGGGAAGAGGCTTCCAGAATTCTCTCCTGGATGGAATATTAGTCAAATGAGGGACTAGTGGAGTTAGTCCTGTAAAAGCTTTGAGTTAATAATTAAAGAAAATGTATCTCTTCCACAGATTTCTTTTGGGAAAACATAAAGCTGCCATTGAAGTATATAATGAAGCAGCTAAACTTAACCAGAAAGATTGGGTGAGTAGAGAACTTGAAGTTTTTGTTATTAGTGATGTGCTAATGGTTCCATTTGTCATATGGCTGTCTTTTGTTATGGCTACTGAATACCCTACATGCCCAAAATGTCTTTATTTTATCCTCACCCTTGATTGATGATTTAACTAAGCATAAGATCAAAGTCATGTTGCCTCATAACTTAGCAGACATTGCTGCCTGGTTTTCGGGCAGTGTCTTACCAGTCTGACTCTTGTTGATAACTCCACTTTCCTCTCTAGAAGCTTTGAGGATTTTTTTCATTGGAGTTCTGAAATATCAATCATTGTTGTCTAGAAGTGTTTCTTTTCTTTTTTTCCCCCTCATCTGTACACCCTCAGTTGGCTTTTCTCTAAGGATCCTTGCCCTATTTTGGGTCAGGGAAGTTTTCTTTGAGTAGTTCTTTGATTTTTTTTTTTTCTTCTCCTCCATTATCCCTTTGTATCAGTCAGGGATTATAACTGCAATAAAAATTCTGACTAAACATTAGCTTTACCAATTAGGGGTTTATTTTTTCTCACGAAACCGATCCAGGTGAGTAGTTGTCAACATTGACTTGGTGGTCCAAGGATGTCAAGACTGAGGCTTTTTCTTCATGTTCACAAGTCGTCTGCTGCAGCTCTAAGATCACATCATCATTCCAGGCAGGGAGAAAAAGGAAACAACAAAGAGAAAAAGACAGCCTATATTAGGAAAGTATAGCTTTCCCAGAAATCCCCAAGAGACTGCCACTTGTGTGATATCAACCATTCCCACCCCTTTAAGGAAAGCTGGGACGTGTAGTTTTTACGTTGGACACATTGACACTCTAAACAAAGTTAGGGTCTTTTAGGAAGGACAACAGGGAGAGTGGATATTAAGCAGCGGCATGTGCCACACTGTTTTCCACTGTATTAAACATGTTCTGTACTTGTTTCCTGTGGCTCTTAACTTGTATCTCACATATTCCCCCTCCTTGCCTTTCTGCTGTACATTAAGGGACATAGCCTCTCCATGTCTCTGACTCTCTAAGTTTTGTTCTGCCTTCCAGAATTACCTTTTCCTTCCTCTCTTTGTTTTGCATTATTTACAACAGCCTGAAGTTGGAAACCACCTGTCTGTGTCCATTAACAGACGAGTGGATAAACAAAATGTGAGATACACATACAGTGGAGTATCATTCAGCCTTAAAAAAGAATGACGTCTGTATACATGTTGCAGCATAGATGAATCTTTAAAACATTATGCTAGGGGGGCGCCTGGGTGGCTCAGTTGGTTAAGCGACTGCCTTCGGCTCAGGTCATGATCCTGGAGTCCTGGGATCGAGTCCCACATCAGGCTCCCTGCTCAGCAGGGAGTCTGCTTCTCCCTCCGACCCTCCCCCCTCTCATGCTCTATCTCATTCTCTCTCTCAAATAAATAAATAAAATTAAAAAAAAAATTTGTAGGTTTTACGCTTCTTGAACATGACTCAATGTCTGATATAAGCAGTTATTTTTTTTTCAGGTATGATAATGGAATTGTAGGTAGTTAAAAAAAAAAAAAAAGACCTGTCCTTTAGAAATACATAATAAAATGTTTGTGGATGTTATGCTAGCTGGCATTTTGTCAAGTAGTGGGGTAGATGGGAGTATGGATTGGATGGTTGTTGGGACAGAGTGATGAGTCCATGGTGTTTCTGTCTACATTTATGTATAGTTGAAATTCTTCTGAAGATTTAGACCTAAAAAAAGAAAAAAAATCCTAGTGCTGACACTTTGTCTCAAGTTAGGCAAACTATTTAACCTCTCTGACCTTCAATTTTCTTCTCTCTCAAATCAGAATTGTTATACCTGTGTTTCAGATTTGCTGGGGAAATTAAAGTAATACATATATGAAAGCCATCTGGCATAGAGCCTGATGTGAAGTAGGTACTCCATCAATGATCCCTATTTTGTTATTTTAGGAGACTTGGAACACATTTTAAACCATTTGTCTCTGAGTCCTGGGGCCCGTGTTTTGCCCGACAGGGACACTTCTGGGTCTAAATGTGCTTCCACACCTCTCCACTACTAACAGAAAGTCCTCACTGTTTCCATAGAGCACTTCCCTCACCCTTGCTTCCTCCTTTCTCTGAAGCTGCTGCTAATAAAGGGAGATTCAGTATAAGGGAACTTGAGAGATTCTCTAGAACTCAAGGTGAACTAGAACTGGAAAGCTGTTAGTAACCAAGGTAGCCTACTCTGCATTTCTGCTTCAGTTTTTTTCTTTTTGTAGGTCAGCCGTTGGCAAACTTTCTGTAAAGGGCCTAGTGAGTATTTTAAGCTTTGTGGCTTCATACAGTCTCTACTGCAGCTACTTAACTCTAAAGTTCTAGTGTGAAAGTTCTGTAGGCAATGTGTAACAAGTCGTCGTGGCTGTGTTCCAGTAAAACTTTATTTACAAGAAAAGCAGAGGATGGATTTGGGCTGTGGGCCAGGGTTTGTAGACTTCAGCAGATTGGCTTCAATGACATGTATTCCGCCTCAGCGGCCTCCAGATGCTGTTGTCGGTCCCCGAGTCCACACCACCTGGTCAAGTCCCAGATTCCTAGGAGAAGGAATCTGGTACACACACACACACACACACACACTTAGGGGTGGAGCAGGGGCTGTGGGCAATGTCTTCTGAGAGGAGGGCAGGGGGCAGCTCTTAGAGAAGGCAGGCCTGGGGCTGGGTGTGTGCCTCTGAGATCCAGGAAGATTACCTGTTCATTCTGATTTTCTCTCTTATAATCTGAGTTTTTAATATTAAAGAGCCCATTTTATAGAATTAAGTGTATTTAAGTATGAAATCTTGTAAAAAACTACCTGTAGTGCCACTTAAAATGTAAGCTTTGCTGGACAGTAACAGTCTAGATGCCTTTCGTGTCATTCTGGTAGTAACTGCGGAGTTTACACCTGTGCTCTCTTCCGTGTGTAGGAGATCTGTCACAACGTGGGAGTCTGCTACATTTATCTGAAACAGTTCAGTAAGGTACTGTGTGGAGTGGTGGTGGCGGTTGGGCGCCGGGCTGGGGGCGCACCGCGGGCTGCTCGCTGCGGAGGTGCCATCCCTCATGGTGTGTCGTTCCTGAGCAGTGCTTGTAGAGATCTTGGCAGCAAAAATGGAAAGGGCCATACCTTTATCCCCGTATTTATTCTCATTTTTCATCCATCTGCTTTTTTTTTTTTCTTTTTCTTTTCTGATTTTAGCAAGAAAATGACAGACTCTAGAAATATGATGAGGGAATTGCAGTCGAATCGCTTCTCTCCTCTCTTCTCTTCCATCCCCACTGTAATTTTCCAGTATAGAAACATGTTTGATAAAACTTAGATATCAAAAAGTGAACCCTTAGGTCTTAAAAGTGTAATCATGACTGTGTGAGCTATTTTATGGTCTCACGGCAACTGATTTTAGTTTTTAAGGTTATTGGAAATGAATTTAAGTTTTAAGTGGATCTGATTTCTGACAGTTACTGTTTTTAACATTATTTTCCGTGTAAGAACTTATATTTTTAATGGGTCTCCTTAGGTTTCCTGGGCAGATCTATAGTGTTATATGCTTGCTTAGGAGAGTTTTCTCCTCAGAGAATATTCCAAGCATGTGCATTTCTATTCATAGGATTATTCTGAGCCACGGGAGAGGTGGGATTGGTCTTTGGTCAGACCTGTACTGAAAAGAAGGAGAATTATATTTTACTGTAAAGCTAACAAATATAATACTTGACATTGATGTAAATACTTGTTGAATCAATGAATGACTTAAAGCCCTTTTGATCATCGATTAGGATAAAGCTCTTCCAGGGCAAGGAATTTGTTTTGTTAGCTTTCGTATCCCTAGTACCTAGAACAGTAGGTACTCAATGGATACATGTTGAGTGAATAAAGGAGAACAGTGCGTTCATTCATTTATCAACTATTGGTGAGGAAAATGAGGTCCACTCCGGGGAAGGTTGTGCAGTTCATCAGTGGTGCAGCTGGGATCGAATTCAGGGCAGTGCTCTATTCTGTACTACGGCACTCCTTTGAATTATGAAGTGTGAGCCATGGGTTTGACTATCAAGAAGCAGAAGACGCTCAGAAAGGTTAATCCTCATGTATAAAAAACTCCCACGTGGCTCCAGAGGCAGACACCTCATGTTGCCAGCTGTCCTGTCATCAAGCAGTTTTGGTATGTTGTAGTGTTTTTGGGTAGTAGGGGCTGTTCGCTGAGATGCCGTGTTCCTGCCTGAGTACAGCAGGAGCTCTGTCTTTACAGTAGCCACACCAAGCCATTGTCCTTTCGTGGTAGTGATTGGGTTCTCTTTACTCCATCAATCTTATTAGGCACAAGACCAGCTGCACAATGCCCTCCATCTTAACAGGCATGATTTGACTTACATAATGCTGGGGAAGATCCACTTGCTGGAGGGAGACTTGGACAAGGCCATTGAAATCTACAAGAAAGCAGTGGAGTAAGTATGTCTGTTTTCTTTAAGGCAATGAGAAAATAAATGGGAGCAGACATAGGAACCCCCAAGCTTAAGACTGATTACGGATTACCGTGACAGATCACTAGTTACATGAGTCAAGCTCAAGCTAAGGTTAGAAGCTCCCAGTGGTTTGCTTACATAAGGAAGACTTGGGTTTCTCACCTGTCAGTATGGCTAGTCTAGCCTAGCTGGACAGTTCTCCACAAGATCGATCAGGGATCCAGGTTCTTTATTAACCCACCATTCCTTCAGTTTTGCCTTCACCTGCATAGTTGAAGCTGACTTAATGTGGTATCCATGTTCTAGGCTGTGATGAGGGGCAGTGGTACAGGAAACTACCGAGTAAGCAGCTCGAAGTAAGGTTTTAATGGTTTAGAAGTTGCACACATCATTCCTGCTCACATCCCATGGTTTGTGAGGTGAAGTGGCCACTAGCCGCAAGGGAAGTGGGTACACACTTGCTCAGGAGGAAGGAGAGGATAGATTTTGGAGTCAGCTGGTAGTCTGCCATTGTGGTTTTAAACTTTATAGCAGATCTTGTTTCCGGAGACATTGGAGTCAGAAATCTCCTGATTCACTAATAAATATGTGGCATTTATTAACATGAGACCGATACCTTGTTTTTTTGTTTTTTTGTTTTAAATATCATTAGGGTCGGCCAAACCCCTATTGATAATGGAACGGACTGGTTTTACCAGGATGGTGTTCCAAGTTTCTTCTCCAGGGACACATACTATCTTGTCTTTTTTGTATAGGGTCTTGTTTGTTTTAAGTGGGATAGCTGTAGCAAAATGTCTCATTTGTTTTGTCACTTAACAGGATGTGGCCACAGTGTATTATTCCTGATAATTAGTCTCTGAACTAAACTTAGATTTCTGTTAATTACCTTTGTCTTCTACCACAGCAGTCACTTTTCTGGTTATACCAGTCACAACACTCTTCTGAATTTTCTTCAACCACATTTTGTGTCTAAAAAGACATAATCCCTTGGTTTGGGGCACGTGGGTGGCTAAGTCGGTTAACTCATGATTTCGGCTCAGGTCATGATCTCAGGGTTGTGAGATCAGGCCTCTCTCGCTGGGCTCCCTGCTCAGCGGGGAGTCTGCTTGAGAGTCTCTCTCTCTCCCCTCTCCCCACTAAAATAAATAAATCTTTAAAAAAATATCCCTTGATTTGTTAAGCTACAAGAGAGTTGTCAGCAAGGGGCTAAGTTTATAGGGACAAGTAGGAAGGAGCCCATGTAGCATATTTTAAGTGTCTGTGGTGCTCGGTGGAAGGAAGCCTTCTGCCTTTTAAAGTTGTCTCTTTGAGATTAGCTCACAGAAATCTGGAGGGTGACATTCTTCCAGGACTCATCAAGGACTTAAGTCAGTATAATTCCCGAGGGAAAAAGGGGACAGCTGAACATTTGGAACCTCACTGATGTTTATGTGACCATTGTTTATGACCATTGTTTATGACCCATTGCTTTGGAGATGGTAGTCACGTTTTGGTGGGGGCCAAGGGGGATGCCACCAAAATCAGGGAAGTTACATAATTGGTTTGTGGGTGGGAGATGATCAAAGTGGATATTTATTATGGCAGAAAGCGAAGGGCAAATACTCAGTTGAACTGAGTACGCTCTCTTTGGCCAGCTCATGCTTCCTCTGGCTGGGGCTTTGGCCCTTTGGTCTGGTCTCCCCATAGGTAATCAGTGCCCCACTCGGTCCTTAGAAGCAGGAGACGCTGTTCCTTGCATTTGGCATTTTCACTATTGAAACTGCTGATGATCCTACAGACAGAACATCTCAGCTCAGTGTTGCTTAGGTTTTGTGACAGAGGGAAGGATCAGTGAGGGACTGGGAAAGCAAATCACCTTTTTAAAGATTTTTTTTTTTTTTTAATTTATTTATTTGACAGCACAAGTAGGCAGAGTGGCAGGCAGAGGGAAAGGGAGAAGCAGGCTCTCTGCTGAGCAGGGAGCCCGATGCGGGGCTCGATCCCAGGACCCTGGGATCATGACCTGAGCCGAAGGCAGTCGCTTAACCGACTGAGCCACCCAGGCGCCCCAAGCAAATCATCTTTTTTTTTTTTTTTTTTTAGCAAATCATCTTTTACTTAAATCAGTGTTTACTTCCCAAAGCCAAAGGCTAATTTTTTCCTTGAGCTGGGTTGTGTCTGTCTTCTTTTTTTCGTTTGGCTATTTAGTATGGTTTTTTGTTTAATGTGGAGAGCAGAGCATTAGGGCCGTTGGGATCCTAAACACACAGAAAACTGCTGGTACTGTCAGTACAGTGAGGCCAGAAAAACAAAACAAAAAAGCCCTACAAACCTACAAGAGGGAACTGGCTACAACTGTGTGTTTTAGATGGACTTGATTTATGGAGCATCGGTCTTTAATTGTATCTGTATAATCAGGGACAGTCACAGAGAATATTCCATAGGTGGTTCTTAGGACTTTGGCCCTAAGGAAGGGTCCTGACAAAGGAGTCTGGATTCCAAGTCCCATTTCTTACTTCCTGGGCAATCCGTCCTGTAGCCAGGGTTGAGAGAACCACTTTTGTTTTGTTTTTGTTTTTTTTAAAGATTTTATTTATTTATTTGATAGACAGCGAGAGAGGGAACACAAGGGGGAGTGGGAGAGGGAGAAGGCTTCCCGCTGAGCCTGACGCGAGGCTCGATCCCAGGACCCCGGGATCATGACCTGAGCCGAAGGCAGACGCTTAACGCCTGAGCCACCCAGGCGCCCCGAGAGGACCACTTTTGGAGGAAATTCCCAGATCACCCTCAGAAATGTTCACGGGGAGTAGGAGGCACAAGAGTGTCTCCAGGTGCAGCACGAGGGCGCGTCAGTGGGCAGGGGTCTCGGTGTCTCATAAACCTCTTGTTTCCCTCTGAGCACTCTCTTTGGGTCTCTGTGTTGCAGGTTCTCACCAGAAAATACGGAACTTCTTACAACTTTAGGACTACTCTACTTACAGGTAATGAGAACTCTACTCATTCATGCACTGATGCTAGAAATGCTTTTGGATTTGTGTGGGTTGTCGCGTCCCTGCACTTTGAGTTTAACACATTCCACTAAAGGTCGTAGGAAGCATGTGAACCTTACTGTCTGCATTTGATATTCTTTGTCTGCTAAAGGAATGAATTTTCTGCATTCGAATCAGGCAAATAAGTCTGTTCGAGGCTACTGCAGTTCTAATTCTTACCCATGTAAGGAAAGGGCAGATATGAGAAATAACTTGGGGGGCGGGGCTGGCATCGTGTTGTTGTGGGAGAAGCTGTGAGTCTGCGGGGCACCGGCAGGGCTGGGGCCGGGGCCGTTTCTGCTGCTGCTGCTTCTGCCCAGCCAGGTGCTCCGGGAAAGAGCAGGAAGAGCGCTGGCTGGAGTGAGAAGCCTCCTCTCCCCGCCACGTTTTCCCGCATGTGAATGGCTTTCTTGTAGTGCCTCCACTTCTCTCTACCAGCCTGGCACCCCTGAGGCTGTCTCCTTGCCCGCTCCCCCCAAGCTCCTCAAGTGCCCTGCACAGCTGGTCCACCAGCTCTGCCTCTCGGGTGGCCTTTCTGTCTCTTTTGTTTTCTGGAGCTTACTCCTGGGCCTTCCTGGGCTTTGACTTGGAGGCTGGCCCCTGGGGAGTGAGGCTTACCTGCCCATTTCCTGCCGGGGAGGCATCAGTGCGGAGCGTAGGGGCTCCCGGCAGATGGAAACTTTGACCTTCAGGGGACAAATCAACAAATATGGGGATTTTTAGTTTTTTTTTTTTTTATCTGGTCTCTTGTAGCTTTTTTTTTTTTTTTTATCATGACAACCAGAAAGCCTGGGTGTTGCTGTTCGGGGCATGGTTGGCCAGACTCCTTAACTGCTGTCTCCCCACTGATGTAATTCTCTGGTTTGCTTTTTCTCCAAGCTCGGTATTTACCAGAAGGCATTTGAACACCTTGGAAATGCACTGACTTATGACCCTACCAACTACAAGGTATCGTACGTAGGCTGTCAAACCCCAGAGCCTTCACACAGATGCTCCCACTGCTGCCAGAGCTGACCTGGCCCTAGAAAGCAGTTTGGATACCTGAGAAATTACCTGCTTCTTAGAAAAATTATAAACAGACATGGCCTTTCTTTTTTGAACATATTGTAAAGTGTTAGCGCTCTGCTGCTCATTTTCTCCAAGCGCACATTTACTGTCACAGACCTGTCTGTCAGGCAGACAGTGAAATTGTTGTGCCGGTGAAGGTCCATGTGTTACTCAGGAAATGAGCAAGGTCTCTACAACTACTGTCTGAGGAGATTCTGGTGAAGTGACTTCTGGGTTCTTAATGAATTTGCGAGGACAACTCTTGTCCAGATAGGACTCTGGGGCTGAGATTGTGCAGTGGGTGGATGAACGTCATGGAGGGAGATGCAGCAGAACGGGCTTTGACAAAGGGTGTGGACCCGGTCCTGTCCCTCTGTCACAGGAGGCATGGTAGGCTGATCCTGCCAGCTTCTGCCTGGGCGCCTTTCCTCGGAGAAACGAGGGCTGGGCTGCGGAGGCCTCCAGCTGACCCCCCTGGGTGGTGCCAGAAGGAAATGGACCTTAAGTGGCCAGACAGCAGTTTCTGGGTTGTCAGGAACACTTGGGGGTACCAAGTAGGGGCCGTGGGGAACAGATGAAAGGCCGCTTTTACTGCAATGGCATTGACTCTGAGATACTGACTTCCTGGACTAGAAGTAGGAAACAAATGAGTCAGGGCAAGTCACTGACATTTTTTCTTTTTCTGTACTGTGCCAGAGAAAGCCACAGTGGGTGTGGGGACATTCCTCCCAAGCATCTGTCCTGAGAGCTTGAATATATTTTCTGTGGCCCGGAAGAAGTGTGTATGTCCTGTCCTTGCTGACGGGCCTGCTGAGTATCTACACCCAGAACGACAGCCTTTGGGGAATGGCTCCATTACTGGCTTTTCATGTCCTGTGTTTTCAGGCCATCTTGGCAGCAGGCAGCATGATGCAGACCCACGGGGACTTTGATGTTGCCCTCACCAAATACAGAGTTGTAGCTTGTGCCGTTCCAGAAAGTCCTCCGCTCTGGAATAACATTGGAATGTGTTTCTTCGGCAAGAAGAAATACGTGGCAGTGAGTGTCTCCCCATCATCCTTGTTTGTGTTCATACAGGCAGTTCCTGGAGCTGCCAGCCTTGCCCCAGCCGCTCATCCGGTGCCCTCTCTCCCCCGCAGGCTATCAGCTGCCTGAAGCGAGCCAACTACTTGGCTCCCTTCGATTGGAAGATTCTGTATAATTTGGGCCTTGTCCACCTGACCATGCAGCAATATGCATCGGCTTTCCATTTCCTCAGCGCAGCCATCAACCTCCAGCCAAAGATGGGGGAGCTCTACATGCTCTTGGCTGGTAAGAGACATTTGTGGGGAGAGCCCCTCTGTAGTCTGTGATGACGGAAAATGATCTAGAATCTTACGAGGTCAGTGGTTAAATGTCCTGTAGAAGCCAGTCCCTCGCAGAACCTGTAGGAGTCTAGTTGAGTGTCCTGGAGCTTGAAAAAGAAGACAATATCTGGTTGCTTCTAGCCTGGGGGCATTTCACTCAGAGACGAGCAGGTTAAATCAAGATCATCCCTAGTTCATGTTTTACCAGTTGTTTTCCCTGACTTGACAATTTATTTACCTATATATAGAGAGAGAGAGAGAGAAAAAAAGAGAGTCCAACTAAGTTCCAGATACCATTGAATGTTAAGAGCTTGGGCTTTATTAGGAAGGGTCCTCCTTCCACTGCGTACTGGTTGGATCTCATAGTAGAGAGAGAGGATTACATAATTAAATAACCAATGAATATTAACTATTGGTTTTTTGTCATTACATAATTGGTCTATTATTAATGTGAGTATTACTGAAACATTAAAGTACTGACTAATTTCTGGGGGATATTTCTCCACATACTAGACTTACTAAATGTAAGCCTGAAAGCACTTTTCCATATTCTCATTGACAGTGCGGTCTTCAGGTGGGTTTTTTAGAATCATTATTGTGGGGTTCTTACTTATAAGAGGAAGGTTGCAAAAGCAAATTGAATCGTGTTCACTGGGGGTTGCCTGAATATGAAGCGAGCTCTGTTCTGATGGGGTTGCAGGAATGGGAACAGACAGCCCGACTGTAAGGCATGAGCAGCGTTCTGACTTCCCAAAGTAGAGATGGCCTTCACACTGCATTTTGAAGGCTTGGCTGGAACTCACCGGCACGGCGTGGCTGAGGAGCTGGGAGCAACGGTGTGCGGCCCGAGCGGCCGTGTGGGCCCTGCCCTGAGCGGCAGTTGTGTGTGGAGCGCAGTGCGGGGGTGGTCGGGAGAGATGGTCTGGGGCCACCTCACGGACCGCACGAGCGGAATGCCTTTGGATAAAGGACTTTGGTCTTTATCCTAGAGGCCGAGGTTTTCCAACTGTATTCCTAGACCGCTTATGTGTCCGGGGGAAGTGACGCATGGCTGGTGGGGAGGTGGAGTGGGTCCGGCTTCCAGACAGCTCTGTTTTGCTTTGTTTTATAGAACAGGCTTCCAGAAAATACTGATTAAAAAGGAGACTGTGTTCTGTTGCTAAACAAAAGTTAAAGATCAGAGAACCTTGGGTGACAGAGAACCAGTGAGGATTCTTAAGTCAGGTGGTGACACGGTCCGATTTGTTTGTAAGTCAGGGCGACCCCGGCAGCTTTGTGGCAAGTGGATGGAGGCAGATGGGGACTTTGCTGTGGGGATAAAATGGCAAGCCTGAAACAACTTGCACCTGAACAAGGGCGGTGTCCAAAAAGAAAGCGCAAAAAACAGGGCTCTGGAGACGCGTCAACTGGCTGCCTGCGGGGAGGGGCCGTCTGGGCTGATGACGACCCTGGGGCGTCCAGGCTGCGTGACTGCAGGCCGTGGCTTCAGGAGCTGAGAGGGCAAAGGACGGGCTGAGTGAACGGTGGCCTTGAAACGTTCCTTCTGTTTTCTACGCTGGGCTCTCCAGCCGCGGTGCCCACTTTCTTTGTTGCAGTGGCCCTGACCAATCTGGAAGATCCAGAGAACGCCAAGAGAGCCTACGCAGAAGCCGCCCGCCTGGACAAGTGAGCTGCTCTGGCAGGAGTGGTAGCGGGGCGGGCTGGACTCCCCGAAACCACCAGGTGGCGCCACAGCTCGGGTGTTGCTCTCGGAGGCCTAACCGTGGAAGCCTGCAGGCCTCGGCACACCGTGGCTCAGCTGGAACTGACGCGGGCTCTTCCGAGAAAACGTTTCCAGCCCCGAGTTTAGCAGTTGGGGGGCCAGAGAAGGAGATGGCGGTGGGCTTGGGCTGCTGACGGCCATGGGCTGGCTGGAATAGCAGATGGGACTCTGCACTTGGTTTAAGATAAACTTAACTCTCCTGGGATTCATTCCACTTGCGTCTGCCGGGCAGCAGGCTAGGGACCCCCGTTTTCAAGCCTGCCCCGGGAGGGGGGGCGCTGTTGAGGGCTGGGATGGCAGACTCGCTCCCACCACCTCCCGCTTGGCTGGTTGGGCAGTTGCAGCCGTGATGCTTGTCCAGAGGTCCACACAGTATGTGTTCTCACCTTGCTGTAGAATGGAGAAGTCTCTACTTAACCAGTTTGTGCCTGGTCTTTTGTGCAACGAGAAGGATCTCTGAATGAGCACGGTTGCAAAGCCTGAGCCCCACAGAATCCCTGTTTGCCACAGGTGTAAGCCTTTAGTAAACCTCAACTACGCGGTGCTGCTGTACAAGCAGGGCGAGAAGGAGGGCGCCCTGGCCCAGTACCAGGAGATGGAGAGGAGCGTCCGCCTGCTCAGGGACAGCGGCTCGCTGGAGTTTGACTCTGAGGTGTGTCCTTTATTAGCTCCCAGGAGGCTGTCTGGGGACTTCCGAGCCAGGGTACCCGAAAGGTTCATGCCTGTTTCAGCTTTGATGTTCCTGGCAGCATGAAATCTTGTCAGTCACCGCCTGAGGAAGAACTTTCCTAGAAGAAAGCTGTAAGGGGAGATTCAGGCTGAGTTATGTTATTGATAGAATACAACTGAGTTGAGGTCTGGGTCTCCTTGCAGCTCCCTCCCACTTCCCCTCTTATGGGAAAGGCAGGAGTTTAGCCCTGTAGCGCACCGACCTTGGATCGTTGGGTTCTGAGACCCTGTGTGCATTCCCGTGCCATCCACTAGGGGGGATCTGTATTCTCTGCTCTTGGAGAAGGATTTCCTTGCAGTAAATACTTCCTCAAATACTGCTACCGGCAGACACGATTTCAGCTAAACTCCCAGGTGGAAGGCCTAGGAAGAAGTAGGTAGGCTTGTCTCTGCCAGTGATATCTGTGACTTTTCTTCTTCCCATGTGGGCACTAGATGGTAGAGATGGCCCAGAAACTGGGAGCTGCCCTCCAGGTTGGGGAGGCACTGGTCTGGACGAAACCAGTTAAAGATGCCAAGTCAAAGCACCGGACCACTTCAACAAGCAAAGCTGCCGGTGTCCAGCAGCCTCTGGGCTCTAATCAGGCTCTGGGACAGGCGATGTCTTCAGCAGCTGCACACAGGAAGCTCCCCTCAGGTAGGAGGCTCCTCGGGGGTGCAAGCCGCACATGCCAGCAGAGAGGACAGCTTTAAGTGAGGCTCAGACTCAGAACACGTCTAAGTAGTGTTTCCTGGAAGGGGAAAAAAGCCATACGCTGGCCAAACTGGCACTTGCTTTCTTAAGGCAAGTTGTGCAGTAGGGAACAGTGACTGGGAGGCTTAGGTGAATGGTTAAAACACTGGGGCTGGGGGCGCCTGGGTGGCTCAGTTGGTTGGGTGTCTGCCTTCGGCTCAGGTCGTGATCCCGGAGTTCTGGGATCGAGCCCCAAAACATCGGGCTCCCTGCTCAGCGGGGAGTCTGCTTCCCCCTCTGCCCCTCACCCTGCTCGTGCTGTTTCTCTCTCACTCTTTCTCTCTCAAATAAATAAAATTATTAAAAAAAACCCCGAACACTGGGGCTTAACACTATTCAAGGTTGGCAATAGACAACAGCACCTTCTGTTACGATGAGGCGGGAAATGAAAGCAAGACTACGGAAGTCAGCGTGGGGGCACATAATTGAGGATCTTTCTCAGTGAGTCTTTGAAGGCAAAGTGGACCAACTATCCCATTGCTTCTAGAAGATACGGGGTTTCTTTTTGAAATTTGACAATAAAAATCATGATTTCTTCCAGAATTGTGGAACTGAGAATTCCCACTATTTGTTTCGTTACTAGGTGCTGGAGGGACATCCCAGCTCACAAAGCCACCGTCTCTGCCTCTGGAGCCAGAGCCCACTGCGGAAGCACACCCAGCTGAAGCATCGGCACAAATAAGAGAAAAACAGGAGTAGGATGACCCCGGAGTAGGGGTTTCTTTGGTGAGGATGTAGCAGGTTAGGAAGGGTCATGTGACACTGGCAGCAAGGTGGCCAGTGTGTTCCCTGGGCACCAGGGGACGCAGAAGTGTTACGATGATCACAAGGAGCCTACAGCTGATTCGGCCTCCCGTTAGCCCCGTCAGCCCGGAGATAGGAGAGAGCCCAGACGGGTCCTTTAAGAATTAAGTGCAAGGCTCATGGCTCTGTGTTTGTAGCTCCAAGAGCCAGCAGGGCACACGATGCTGTTTGCTTTTGAAATGACTTTGACCTCCTGGCTGACTGACCCCTTCCTTTGTGGAAGGAAAGTCTGAGGCCGACCTCTGCTCAGGAGCCCTGTTACGGTGAAGCCTCGGCTTAGCTGAGGTGACCCTCAGGCTGTGCGGCTTGTCAGCCCCGAAGGCAAACACAGATCTTGGATTAGTAATCCAGCTCTAACAGTCTAAATTGAAGGGGAAAAAATGATGAAAAAAACCTCTATAAATCGAGGCCCAGCCTGTTGGATATTCCAGCTGCACCTGTCCAAGGGAATCCCAAACAAGTCCCTCTGTCTTGTTCTTGAGAGACATCAGAGCGTATGCAGAGCCAGATCATGTCAGTAATGATGAGAAGTAGGAGTGAGGGCTGGGCTGGTAGCGACACCAAGGATGAAAAGGAAAAAAAGAGCTTCTTAATTTTTACTTAAAATAATCAATGATACCCCTGGCCAGATGCTATCAGTACATCATCTATGTGTCCTTTTTAGAATAAAGATTATGTATCATCCCTTTGGGGAAAGTTGTTAGGTGTAAAAAGAAGAGATCACAATAAAACCTTTTTAAGAGAACCTGTGATCACAGTCCTCTCTTACCTGCTTCCAAAACTAGTTTGAAACCAGAGAAGGCACCTCATGGCCAAGTTCCTGCTTAGTGCCCGCATAGCTTCTGCTGCCGCCCCGAGGGATGGGGGGCCAGCAGTTTGCATGAGGGCCAGTCCCCATTTTGCACGTAAAGTGCCCTATAATCACCAGAATTTGAAGGTGAGGACAGACCTATTGCCAAACCATATGAAGGAGTTTTTTATGTTATGACTGGGTCTGTTTCGACACTGAGGCAGCAGCTAAGTGAGCAGCAAACTCTGCGGTTCTGGGGTCTCAGAGAGAGACGACAGCACCGCGGCAGCAGGTCCCTTACCCCGCGGCAGGTGTGTGGCAGACCTGGGGTCTACCCCCTGCGCAACTGAGAAGGCTCACCTCTATCTCGCTGTAGGGTCTAGTGTGCCTGCAACTGGAAGGTCTTGGTGAGAATAAGGGTATAAACTAAGAGGAGGAGGAGAGGGGGCTCTGGGAGAGATTCGGGAGGTCAAGTCAACAGGAGTTGGAGGCTGGAGGTAGCAGGCGAGAACAGACTGTCGCGTGGGCACGTGCCGCTGGGGAGAGTTACACAAACCAGAGAAGAGGGACACTGGGGGACTCGGGTGGAGGGTTGTGGAGTCTAGTTTTAGATGTGTTTATCTTCGAGACATCCAGATGATGATAGTAGACGAACAGCTAGATTTCAGGTGCGAAATCTGGCTTGAAGGTAAAGATGCAGGAGTAACTTAATTTGGGTGATGGCTGAAACCACAGATTTGAAAGGAGTCCCCAGAGGAAAGCTAGGAACAAGAAGCCAGGGGGACCAAAAGCGGGAAACGAGTATTTAAAGGGAGAAGCAGAAGAGCCCACAAAGGAGACAGAAGCAAGTGACAGTGATAGAAACAAACCCAGGAGAGTGGTGTTCGGGGAGGCCAGGGAAGGACAGGCTCAGGAAGGGATCGGTCTCCCTGAGCCCTCCCAAGAGAGCAATACTATTGTCCCCTCTCTGTAAAGGAGGAAGTGGAGGTTGGGAGAGGTATAATGAGTTTTCCATGGAAAGTGGTGGATCAGGATTTGAACCCAGGTCTGCATGCAGAGCTCCTGCTCTTAACTGTTATCCATGCATTCATGACATACCTTTTAATTTTTTTTTTTTTTTGGTATTTCTAACCTACATGGTTCATCTGAGTTTTTTTCAAATTGTCACAGATCTCCAAAAGATTTTCCAATGCATTTACTGAAAAAAATCCACTTACAGTTCAAGCCCACGTTTTTTTGGGGGCACAGCTGTACTGGGTCATACCTGCTCGGTCTTTTGGGCATGTGGATTCGCAGCTTCTCATTCACTCTGGTGAGAAAGGAGCTATTCTAATTTCTAATACGGGAGTTGCTCATGTCCTCACAATTTTTCACAGAATTAGGAAAATGAGGCAAAGTACATGATCACAGACACACGTGGTTTTAGATGGCTTGAACTGAGGCAGGAAAGTGCAAGTATAAACTAGCATATGAGAAAAGTGCCCTTTTTATGGAGTATATTAGTACAAAACTGCATTCCAAAGACAGTAAAGCTTTGGAATGTATGATTATAATCATTTTGTTTTTGAGAAGGAGGGGGGAGGGGCAGAGGGAGAAGGGAGAGAGAGAGAATCTTAAGCAGGCTCCACGCCCACCACAGAGCCGGAGCCAGATGGGGGCTCAATCTCAACACTGAGATCATGACCTGAGCCAAAATCAAGATTGGATGCTTAGCAGACTGAGCCACCCAGGTGCCCCTATGATCATTTTGTTTTTAAGGAGGAATTGTTATTGTCTGGTAATAGCAGAGTAGCTCATGTTGGACCAAGCCTCCAAAGATAACAAATATAAACAAGTAGCTAAATATAAAATACTAGGTTTAATTTTTAAAAAATGATATGACTGTTCCAAGCAAAAAATTGTGAGGTTTAACACATATAACTAACTAAGGAAGGGGGTACATGGAACTCTAGGCTTGAAAGGTTTTTTTTTTTTAAGATTTATTTGAGAGAGGGGGTTTGGGGCAGAATCTTCAAGCAGACTCCCCACTGAGTGTAGAGCCCAACATGGGACTCCATCCCACAACCCATGAGATCATGACCTGAGCTGAAACCAAAAGTCGGACACTCAACTGACTGAGCTACCCAGGGGCCCCTAAGATTTTATTTTTTTAAGTAATCTCTGTACCCAACATGGGGCTCAAATGACCCTGAGATCAAAAGTTGTACACTCTTCCGACTGAGCCAGCCAGGCACCTCTGGAAATTAAAATTCTAAAAAATATACAATTAGTACCCTCCTCCTCTAAAGGGCAGGAAAAGAAGAACCAAGGAATGGGGGCACCTGGGTGGCTCTGTTGTTAAACATCTGCCTTCGGTTCAGGTCATGATCCCAGGGTTCTGGGATCGAGCCCCGCATCAGGCTCCCTGCTCTGCGGGAAGCCTGCTTCTCCCTCTCCCGCTCCCCCTGCTTGTGTTCCCTCTCTCGCTATGTCTGTCAAATAAATAAATAAAATCTTAAAAAAAAACCCCAAAAAACCAAGGAACAAAAAAAAGATGGGACAAAGACAAAATAAATAGCAAAATGTTAAATGTGAATCCAGTCATGTCCATAATTACATTAAAATGTGATTAGACTAAAAAAAGTAATTGAACTGTACATTTCAATTAAAAAGTAGAGAAAGGAGGGGCGCCTGGGTGGCTCAGTCATTAAGCATCTGCCTTCGGCTCAGGTCATGATCCCAGGGTGCTGGGATCGAGCCCCGCATCGGGCTCCCTGCTCGGCAGGAAGCCTGCTTCTCCCACTCCCACTCCCCCTGCTTGTGTTCCCTCTCACGCTGTGTCTCTGTCAAATTAAAAAAAAAAAAAAAAAGGATAAACAAATCTGCCGCTGAAAGCAAAAGGATGGAAAAAGCTATACCATTCAAGCTACAGGCCTAAATCTGGAGAGCTCTATTAATGTCAGATAAAGTAGACTTCAAAACAAGGAGCATTACCGGAAATAAAGAGGGACATTTCATAATAATAAAAAGTTCAATTCAGTAGAAGAAACATAACAAGTATGTATGTACCTAACATTATTACTTCAAAATACATGAAGTAAAAATCGATAGAATTAAAGCCACAAACTTGGTTGGATATGTTAGCTCTCCCTCTTGCAGCAATTGTTAGAATTAGTAAGTGTAAGGACATATAAACCACCTCGACTTAATTGACATTTACAGAACACTACAACCAATAACTATTTGTTTTTTGGGTGTTGAGTTTGAGAAGTTCTTCATAGATCTTGGATACCAGCCCTTTATCCATAATGTCTACAAATATCTTCTCCCAAAACAAATAATCCAGTCAAGAAATGGGCAGAAGATATGAACAGACACTTTTTCAAAGACATACAAATGGCTAACAGATACATTAAAAAATGTTCAACATCATTAGCCATCAGGGAAATACAAATCAAAACCACAATGAGATACCACCTCATACCAGTTAGAATGGCAAAAATTAACAAGACAGGAAACAAGTGTTGGCGAGGATGTGGAGAAAAGGGAACCCTCTTACACTGTTGGTGGGAATGCAAGCTGGTGTAGCCACTCTGGAAAACAGTATGGAGGTTCCTCAAGACGTTAAAAATAGAGCTACCCTACGACCCACTGATTGCACTACTAGGTATTTACCGCAAAGATAAAGATGTAGTGAAAAGAAGGGGCACCTGCACCCCAATGTTCATAGCAGCAATGTCCACAATAGCCAAACTGGAGGAAGCCAAGATGCCCTTCAACAGATGAATGGATAAAGAAGAGGCGGTTCATATATACAATGGAATATTACTCAGCCACAAGAAAGGATGAATACCCACCATTTGCATTGACATAGATGGAACTGGAGGGTATTATACTAAAAGAAAGAAACCAAGCAGAGAAAGACAAATACCATATGGTTCAACTCATATGTGGAACATAAGGAATAGTGCAGAGGACCACGGGAAGGGAAGGAAAACTGGGAAGAAATCAGGGAGATAAACCATGAGAGACTCTGGACTCTGGGAACCAAACAGGGTTACAGAAGGGAAGGGGGATGGGGTAACCGGGTGATGGGTATTAAGCAGGGCACGTGTGGTGATGAGCACTGGGTGTTACGTGCAACTAATGAATCACTGAACACTGCATCAAAAACTAATGATGTATTATATGTTGGCTAATTGAACATAATAAAAAGAAATTAATAAGATATGTCGAAAACCCCAAAGTATTTGGAAACTAAACACACACTTGCAGTAACTCAAGAAAAAAATCAAAAGAGAAAATATTTTGAATAATGAAAACAAATCACAATTTGTAGGACTCAGCTAAAAGCAGTGCTTATAGGAAACTTATAGCTGTAAATGCTTCTATTAGAACAGAAGGCAAAAAACCAGTGATAGAGGTAAGCTAGAAAAAGAGCAAAATAAACCCTAAATAACTACAGAGCAGACAAATATTAAAGATCTAAAAAGACAGAAGCTCTATGAAAAAAAAAAAAAAGACAAATCCCCAGCTAAACTGATGAAGGAAAAAGGAGGAGACAAATCAGGATATGAAGATAACAGGAATGAAGAAGGGGATAGCATTACAGATCGTATGGAAGTGAGAAAGATCAAGGAACATTATGAACCATTTATAACAATAAGATGGACAACTTGGACACAATAGACATTTTTGAAAATGAACAACATACTGAAATTGAAATGAAATATAAAGCCTTAATATTAAAAGTCCTATCAAAGAAATTGAATTTGTAAATCAAAACCTACCTGAAGCAAACTCTTAACCCAGATGATTTAGCTGGCAAATTTTATTAAATCCAACTTTACAAGAAGTTTTAGTAAATAGGAACAAAAGCTTCCCAACTTGTTTTCATGAGGCCAGCATAATCCTGATATCAAAAGTGGAAAAAGACATTACAGAGTAAGGAAATGATGCCCATTATTCTGCATGAACATGGGTACAAAAGTCCTTAACAATATATTAGCAAATTAATATTAGCACATTAAATCTGGCAGTATATAAAAGGGTTACTATGTATATCATGACCAAATTGGGGTTATCCCAGTATAATTTAAATGTAATTAACTCTTGGTTTACTATTTGAAAAGCAAAGTACTTTCACGTGTTAGCAAAATAAATGAGAAAGTCTATGATTTCAGTAGGATGCAGAAAAAGCAATTTTTAAAAAGCCATCATAAAAACCCGGCAAATCAGGAACAGATAGTAACATCAACTTGACAAAAGGCATCTATGGAAAAAGGTGCAGTGAACATCACATTTAGTAGTAAAACACTCAACACTCTGCCCCTAAGATCAGGACCAAGGCAAGGATGTCCACTTTTATCACTTTTGCTCAACATACTAGAGGCTCAGTGCTACGAAGGGAAGAAATAAAAAGGTATAGACAGAAAACGTCACAAATGATATGGTTGCTTATGAAGAAAAACCCAAGGAATCCTAAAAATAAGTAAATAAAGGTACCACAAGGGATAACTGGATCTGGCAAGGTCAGTGTACAAAAATCAATGATATTGGTACATACCAGCAAGGAAGAGTTTGAAAATGCAATTCAAAAATCCATTTACAAAACCGTCAAGTACTATCAACGTGAAATACTTAGTAAAGAACTCACACATGTAAGCACCTGTACCCTGAAAACGACAAAGCTTTGCTGTGAGAAAAACACTTAATCACGTGCTGGGAAGCTAACTCTTGTTGAGGTAGAAATTCTTTCCAAATAGGTCTACAGATTACTATCACAAGCCCAACAAGTTTTGGGGTAGAAAGTGACAAGCTGGTTCTAAAATGTGAGGAAGATACCAAGGACTTAGCACATCCAAGGTGATCTTGAACAAAGTTGGAGGACTTAACACTCACCACCTCATTTCAAGGCTTGACCAGAAGAGTGTTTAGTAGTAAAACATCGGGATGGACAAACAGATCAGTAAAAGAGAACGCAGTTCATAAATAGACAGACCTACGCTTATACAGTCATTTTTGATAAAGGCATGAAAGCAATGCAGTGGGAGAAGGAGTCAGACCTAACACCTTCCACAAAAAGTCACTCAAAATGGATTAGAGATCTAAGTGTAAAACCTAAAATTACTGTAAAGTTTCTAGAAGAAAATGAGACTACAGGCAGGACAGTTCAATGCTTCAGACCAGTAAGCCAGGAAGAAAATGAGTGTCTGTCTACAGACTGGGACTATATAAAGAACTCCTACAACTCGATAATAAAACTAAACACCCAGATAACAATATATACAAAAGAACCCAGCTGGGGGAAAAAAAAAAGTCGGCAGATTTGGACACTTCATAAAGATACATGAACGGCCAATAAACATGTAAAAAGAATGCTCACTCTTCATCAACAGGGAGATGCAACATGAGACCAGATACCTACTGGTTTCTGGAATACCAGAAATACCACTACTTACCTTTCGAGATGGCTACAATTAAACAGGGACACCTCCGGGTCTTGGTGCCAATGAGAAGCCACCAGAACTGTCAAATATCATCGGTGGGAGTAAAATGGTTCAGCCACTTTGGAGTGATGGGAACGTTCTGTATCTGGGTAGGCCCCACCAAATGGCACACGTGACATCCGTGGAGCTCCACTGTATGAAAATGTCTACCTACAACACCCCAGAGTGAAATGTTAAATCACTGTGGTAGCTTTTCAAGGTTTTAAAATAGTTCTAGAGACCCAGGAAATTGCCAGGTCAGTTTAGTAATAGTAACTGACCATTATTAAGCTTTTAAATACGTGCCATGTACTGTGCTAAATATTTCGCACAGCTTTCTCCTTTAATCAAGAACCCTAAGGGGAGGGACCGTCATGCACCCCATTTTATGGATGAGCAAAGTGAGGCTCAGAACGGGTAGTACGTCCCTGTCATACAACACTTGCCATCTCAACACCCTGCATAGAATGTGAACTTCTATTGATGAGGGCTCCCCCCCCACACTAGCCAGAATAAAATGCAAATTCAGTCCGCATGATGATGACTGATTTGGGGCCAAATTGTTGTCTCAACAGTGTTTGGTGTGCTGGCCCTTCTCCCCGGGTGTTCAACCATTTCAAGCAAATGTAAGCGTGTTAAGAGCATTTGTAGGGAGGCTCATTTCTCACCAGGCCCCCTCTTCTAGTCCAGCGGATTTTCAAACTTCTTATCAAGTCGCACGTGGAAACCTTTGTAAAATACAGCTCCGAGCTCAGGGCGGAGAGGCCCGCGGCCCCACCTGCATCATCCTGGCAGCTCACTCCCACAAAGCCTGTCCCAGGTGCTGGAGTCCAAGCTTCCTGCCAAAGGTTAGCTGCCTTCTCCAAAGGGTGGGATGTTTGGAGGGGCCCGTGCACATTCCTAACTCCATGGAGCTCATTCAGGCACACGTACAGCTTCACAAGACGGGAAGGAATACCTGCCCTGTGAGCATGATGCATTTTGATACTTCCTGTGTTCACCACCAAATTGACTTAGTGACTATAAATACTTCAACACCCATCTTTTGAAAAACACTGCTCTACGGTACGCGCTGATTACACGTTATTGACATCACCCATGCAAACTGGAGAACTTGTATATACTAAGGGGAGGGCAGAGCAGACAGCTCAGGGACAGACTAAGAAAAAGTCCCGTGGAAAACACCTCAGTACTCTCAAAGTCGTCTTTGGGTTTACAACAGAAGTGAGGAGTTATCCCAATTCTTCTTTGGAAAACAGAAATCTCTTCTCACTAAAGCCTTTCTAATACAAATAGGCTAGAAGCTTAGTGTTTTTTTTTCTTTAAAGAATGTTTTTTTTTTTTTAAAGATTTTATTTATTTGACAGAGAGAGAGACAGGAAGAGCAGGAACACAAGCAGGGGGAGTGGGAGAGGAGAAACAGGCTTCCCGCGGAGCAGGGAGCCCGATGCGGGGCTCGATCCCAGGACCCAGGGACCATGACCTGAGCTGAAGGCAGACGCTTAACGTCTGAGCCACCCAGGCGCCCCGGTGTTTAATTATTTTTAATGGAGCTTGGAGGCAGAGACTGATGAGGTAGCAGCCAGAAATTTCCTTAATAAGCTACTTGCTTTGAATTTCAAGCTCTAGGCTTCAATTCTCTTTGAAGGAGTAATCAAACCTTTCCTTTTACCCATAGCAGGGACGGGGAGGTCATAAGTGAAGAACCCAAGGTAGCTTTGAGGTTCCAGAAGCTGCTATGAGCCAGGTATGAACTGATGACCCCTGACTCTTGAAGTGGAGCTGCCACGTTTACACCACTCTTCAAACAACGGAGGAGGCTCACCGTGAGCACTCTTTCAAACTGCTGTTTTGTGGTGGCTTGGCTACTTAGTACTACGGTCTTCTGTCACCTTAACCCAACAGACGAAAGACCTATAGGCTGGGCTCAGCGCGAGGGACTGCCTAACCCAGCAGCGGGGAAGACAAGATAAACACCTCAAGAGCACAGTAACATACAACCCACATCCTAGTCAGGATCAGAAATGATTTATACTTTATCTGGCTCCAGAGTGGTGCTGGGAGAAACAAAATCAATCACAAGTAGACTTAGGACTCCTGAAATGTAAATTTTTTTTAATATATTTAAAAGCACACACAAGTCTCCTTGACTTATAAAAAAACAAATACATAACAGGACAGATTTATTCATGATTCTGGGGCTCTGATGAGGTAAAACTCTTTACTGGATGTGGTGTGTGAATGTAAAACAAACATGATCTGTTACACCCGCAGAAGCGTATTCCAGTTGTAAAAGCAAATTCCTTCAAGGATCAGAGTGAACAACGATCGGTCTTCCACTGTGGAAAGCGTGCCCAGAGCCGGTGGCTGGGACTGGGCCCAGGCACGGTGGGCTCTGACCAGCCAGCCCACAACCCCGGGCGCCAGGGCAGAAGGTGGAGCCCAGCAGCCCCCGCAGCCCACCGGGCAGGCGAGCCAGGCTTCTGGAAGGCCTCCCGCAAAGGCTGCGCGAGGCTCCCGGCCTGGGCGGGGACTATGAAGCACAGGGGCGATTGTTTTGTCCTGACTTGTGGCTCTGTCTTAAGTTCGAGAGCAGAAGACTCAGAAGGGGTGCTCCTTAAATATTTTCATTGTAACACTGAATGGAAATCATGATCCTGCCCACAAGCGCGCAGCAGAGAGAGAGAGCATGAGACCCTGGCGCCGGCGGAAGCGCTTTCTCCAGCCGACGTGCTCTCCACAGCGCAGTCTGGCCTAAGATACCAGACAACGCTGCATAAAATGGGGACACGGGAATCAAGTTTTACCCCTGTAACACACAACATAAAAAAAACCAAAAATCCAGTCTCGTTAGTAGATAGCTAAATTCTGAGGAAAACCTGAAATGTTTTTGTGTAATCGTCAACAGGCTGGAATGTATCTGATACAGTTGAATCTGTTGTTTCTTTGGCTATCTTTCAATTAGATCTAGAAGCTGTTTTGACACACCTCCATCCTATTTTTCCTGTCATTCTTAAATTGGGTAGCTCTCCTTCAGAAAAATTACTTCCTAGGAGTGAGGGCGGACTTCTGAATAGAAGAGGCCTTCAGCGGAAATGGCGTCTCCAAGGCCCACGGTTCGAATGGGATCTTTACACACCAGGACTGGTGTGAAGTGGAAGGATATTCCCTCCCTGTGCCACTCTGCCACTGGCTCATTGGGGTTTATTACGATCCTCGAGCCCACCTCTGAATGGGAAGTCATGAACTCGTGGGGCGCCCGCAGGGACACACGGTTGGCGTCTATGGCTTCCGTGGCGCAGGCCTGCGTCCCGGCCACGCGTGCTCCTGCGGCCACGGCCGCCAGCTGGTTGGCCCAGTGTCCGTCGACAGTGGCCAGGATGTGGTAGACCAGCGTGTGGAAATGGATCCTGGTGAGGTCTGAGGCTCTGCTTTTACTCCTCCCATGTTCCTTCAAGATCCAGAAGAGGATGTCACTGACCATGCCCACGTCGGGGACGCCATTCCAGGAAGAGAGAGAGGAGTGAGGTCCAGATGCCGCCTGGCTGAGGAAAAGCAGCTCCTGTTCGTTCAGGCCCAGGGAAGTCACCGCCCGAAAGACCTGCTAACAGAAACACAACGGAGGTCTCTTTCTGATGGACACCCAGCTCCTAAGAGACCCGAGGACACAGCCCGGGACTACAGTCCAGGGAAGGCAGGCAGTACGGCGTCTCTCTTCCTTCCCACGAGACTCCCCGCCCCGGAGCACGCGCCACGGAAGGGACGGTCACAGATGACTGCTTTGGCCATGACACCTCTAGCCGCACCTTTATCACCACTTGGGATAAACCCAGAAAGTGGCAGTGACACTTTGTAGACTCGGCCTTCTGCTATATTCACTCCGACAAAGGGCAGAGGGGCACCTACTTCCTATTTCCGTCCATGGCACCCCGCCTGAGACTTCGCACGCACAGCAGCCCCTCTGCCTACTGGTGGGACCAGGCTCTTGGTTCCCGAACGCCAGCCGGCGCCGTGCCGGTGAGACAGAGAAGGCCCTGCGGCACACAGGGTCCCGTGGTTCCGTGTACACAACCCCAAGAAGCAGGGAGAAAGGTCTCCCGTCAGAGCTAAGCTTTTTAAGTAGCTGTGGGTTAGGGAAGGCCGAGCTGAGTAGCAACGGTGTGCAAAGGGCACTGAACAGGAGCTGCGGAGCCGGTTTTAGTCTTAAAGGAGCCACGGTGTCGACCGATCTCTGACCTGGCGGAGCCAGAGAACCGCACACACGGGGAATGTGTGAGGGAGAGGAGCCCCTGAAGGGAGGGAGAGTGCAAGGGGTACGTGTGGGGGCATGCGTGTGTGTGCGCGTGCATGCACTTATTATTTAAAAACCGGTGGCCTGGAACCTTTGCACTTCCGCGTACGGCATGTGCTGTGCCAGGCCCTGAGCGGGTGGCTTTATTTCATTCAATTCTTACCATAACCCTCTCAGAAGGAGGAATCGCCTCCATTTCCCAGATAAGGGGACTGAGGCTCAGAAAGGTTAAACAGATACACAGAAAATGAAATAAACATGGCCTTTTTAAAAGGTGGAAAGATAACCTTAAAGGAGAAATGCAAATCGAAACCTCCGCTGAGAAACACCAAGTGCGAACGCCGACGTAAACCGCGGCGTGCGGGCGGCGCCTGCATGTGGTATTTGGGAGCTCACGACATGCTACTCACTTTTGCTACAAACTTGAAACTGCCCTAAAAAGTAAAGTCTATTAAAACAACCCACAATTATTCTCAAATATTTTTCACCTGTCAGACTGGTCAAAGAATGCGTGTTTCTAATCACGTTCTGGTGGCAAGGACACGAGGAAATGAGCACCTGTAAAGAGTTCTAGCGGGGGTGAGTGGGGACAGCTCCGTCGAGGGCACCTTGGCAACATTACACCCACAAGGGCCTTTTCTGCCTCACCGAGCACTGTGCTTCTGTGAATTCATCAGACATATGTACCTGCACACGGGGAGATGGAAGTCCTACACCAGGTTCTCTGCTGCACCACCGTCTGGGATAGCAAAGGACAGAAACCAAGATGCCCACCGACACGGTGCAGGGTGAATAACCAACCTGGGGACCCCACATGCTCCCTTTCATCGCCTGGCTGTGAAAAGACAGCATGCTCCCCAGTGATGACGGAGAAAAGGCCTCCAAAATCCAGTCAGTGAGAAGAAGCAAAGTGCAGAACAGTCCACATTCCGTACACCGTGCTATCTTTTGGGGTAAAAAGGGACCAAACATGAAGGATATATCCCCATGTTTGCTTCTATTTGTACGTGACTCTGGAGAAATAAGGATGAAACCAAGAAGATTCCTAACAGTGGGTACGGGTGGTGGGAGGGAGACGTCACTGTGTGTCTTGGTATCATTGGGGTTCGAACCATATGAATATATCACCCATTAAAAAGGTTAAATAATAATACATTAAAAGGTTCCGTAACTTGCCTAAGTTCACAAAGCTAGAGAACGGCAAAGCGGCCATGCCAACCCCGGCTTCTGAAGTCTGTGCTCTGAAGCACCGTACTCCCGGGTCTAATCCCTGCTGCTGACCGGAGGTACGAGTCGAACACCTTGGTGCCTGGTGGTGAGGGAGTGAAGCTCCCCCAAAGTTCCTCTCCTCTGAGCTTCTGGAAGTTCAACTGAAAGCAGCTGAGCTGGGCTGTTTTCTCCTTTGGGTTCTACCACAAAACCCATTCATGTCCAACTTCTCCATTCCAGGAGAAACAGGACCCACAAGTCCATCAGGGATGCTGCCGTATTGCTAACCTAGTAGGAGATCCTGTTCCAGAACGGCTCTGGCTCCTTATTTGGATCTTCATGGACCCAGGTCTGAGTGACAGAACATCCATGCCTCACTGAGCTGGCCCGTGAGCCCTAAGAGCCGGCCCCTCCGGGCAGGTGGGGGAGGGCCACAGAAGGCCGCACGTGCTGCCCTGTGGTTACCTGATGCACGATGCTCCTCATGAGCTCCTTGTTGGTCATACTGGCCAGCTCGAGGTGAACCGGAATACCAGTGGGGATGTCAGAAATGGAGGTCACGACCTGGCAAGAGAAGAGCGCAGTGGTGCCATTAGAAACAGAACTCACGCAAGAGGCAAGATGGGTCAAGGCCGAGAGGCAGTGCCTCTGGTCACAGCCTTTTTTGCATCATGATGCAAGCTCTAAGCCCCGGGGGTCACCACAGCCTCCAGACGAGGGACGCTCTTGCCGACAGGGAGGCGCCGGGGTCCTACACTCCGGGCACCAAGAACCGCCCGCGCGCTCAGGGAGCAGCCTCTTCCTGGGGGCCTGCCCCGGGGAACCGCCGCACAGCTGATGTGAAGAGACGACACACACGACACAGAGGCCGCAGACCACACACCGCGGCGAAGCGCAGGGCGCAGAGGCTCGGGCGAGAGGCGTTCTGCCCTGTCCTGCTGGAGCTGCCGCCTGCGGCCGAAGGAGCACCGGGAGGCGCGTCCCCGCGGCGGCTGCCGTCCGTCATCCCGGGGAGGCCGGGACCGAGGACCAGGCAGCACGAGCTGCAGAGGCCGAGAGCGGCGGGAACCTGAGGAACAACGCCAGCCGAGATCTGTGAAATTCTGTGACAGTGCTGTTACCTCCAAGAGCCTCTTCCTCTGCAGCTCCTTGCTCTGTCCCTCCATCATGTGCAATCCAGAGAGGACCACCAGGTCTGGCTGAAACTCCTCCAGGCTGGACATGAACACCTCCAGCATATTCATGGCCCCGTTGGAGAAGTCGTGGGAGAAGATGAATCGGTTGGCATGGGGAGCTTTTAACCGGCCCCATTCCTCCCCTAGAAAAGCCCAGGCAACACAGTGGGAAGACAAGGAAGAGGCTTTAGGTCTCCTGGCTGTGGGGGCGGGAGGGGGCCTCACTGGAGCCCCGGCTCCGGGCACACTGGCTTGCGGCTGAGTGCAGCCCGACGACAATGGCCTAGGCCAGCATGGCGCTGCATCCAGGACGGTGGTCAGTAAAGAAACCAATCCACCGGACCCCGACCCCGACCCCAACCCAACAACACAACAAACAGCATGGACGCCCTATGCCTCTGTCAAGGGGCTGCCAGTTAGTCCCAGGAGCGCTTCCCGCCCACTGAGCTCTCACACACAGGACGCCTGTGCCCCTTCCCTGTTACAGAGCAGTAGCACGGCTTCCAAACACCAGCATCCGGCACACAGCGTGCACGTCCCTGCACATGGAACACGCGATCTTTCTCGATGCACTTCCCACCTCACAGCGGGCCTCGAGCATCTCTCATGCAGCTGGGCCCCATGGAGGCAAGCTGACTGCAGCCCCTCCTCCCTCCTGCCCGCTGGTGGTTTCCTGGCACTTGATCCAGAAGGTAACAACGTCTGGCTGCTCTAGCCTCCTCTGAGCGCGCTGCTTTGGAATAATGACTGCTCAAGACCAAGTTGAAGCATTACTTCCTCCCTAAGTGGCTGCTGACTGCTCCAGCCTGAGGTGCACTTTCACTGCTCTGAGCATCCCCAGAGGTTTCCCTGCCCACGGTTTGGGGAGTATCATTTTGCTTTGAGCTAGTTCTTCTACGGTTCTGAACGAGTATTCAAACTTACACCATTACTTAACTTGTCACACAGCTGTGCCCCATCTCCCCAAACAGAATGGCAGCTCTTTGAAGGGAACATTGCACGTCTCTTGATTCTCAAAGTACCTGTCACAGGCCCTGCAGAGAGGGCCCACTCAAGCCGAGGGAGGCGAGATGCACCCCTGGCTGGGTCTTCTGGTGGGGGGAGCAGTTTGGGATCTGTGCCCACCACAGGAGTGGCTCTCCCCAGAGGCCCTGCATCAGAATCTCCTGGGGAACTGAGTTTTAGATGTGCAGGTGCTGGGGCCCACTGCTGTGCATGTGGGTGTAGAACGACCCACGCAGACCCCACAGCGGCCAAGCATCTGAGAGGCGTGTGCTATGGCTGGGAGTCCTAAAGCAGGGCAAGAGACAGAGGCCTTCCCCAGGTTCCCCTGGTGAAGCCTCACCACTCTTTCTTCTCCCAAGGCTTGGCAGCAAATCTTGAAACTCAGTCAGTGCAAGGGCCACCTGGGCTCTGTAACTGCTTCAGGCAATTCCTAAATGATCCCTCCTGCCCCCCCAAACCAGCATGGAGGCACTTCCGGAGACTCAGGGGCAAGGATTTAGGAGCTGGGTTTCTATAGCTTTCCCTCCAAGTATTCATCTCATTTACAAAATTAGAATTCATAACACTGAAAGCTCGTTTTTCACTGGTTTCTATCAGTTACTGGACAATCCTTCAGAAAGCTTTTCCCGAAGGCAGACAAACCACAGCAGAGGGTTTCCTCATACTGCAGGCTGATGTGCTAACTGTTGTCAGCAAACCTCTTCCTCCTTCCTACAACAGGCCTCTCCAAACAGAAGCCTTGCCTCTCCACGGGGAGTGCGCGTGTGCATACAGGGCTTACTCTGGAGTGAGTGTCAAGGATGGCAGAGCCCATCTTTCCTTTACTGTGAGTTCAGCTTTATTGAATCCATTCCTCTGAAAAACATTTTATATGTGGGTCATTTATATAAAAATCTATGAAAGCAGAAAAAGACATTTCCTATTTATTGAACCCCAACACAATGGTTATGTCGGTTACACCAACACATTCCTTTAATTCCTGGTCCACATCTTACCATTTGTCCAAAGAAAACACCCAATAATGGCCCACACAGCTGAGTGCAACACTCCGACCCTGTTTTATCTCCAAAGACCCAAAGCAAGGGCAGCCTCCCCTGCGAAGCCTTCCCTAACTCTGCCAACCCCAGTAGATTCAGCTGCTTCCTCCCCTGGGCCACTGTTGGTACCTCTTAAGGATGGGGCATGTGATTTTGTAATCATCTGCTCAAGAGCCCATGCCCTGCAGTGAGCTGCGAGCTGAGCGCAGGGCCCGCGCCTTCTGTCACCAGCTCGTCCTGCCTCACACCGCCCCTGCATGTAGCGTGTGAACAAATGAATGAGCGAAGAACAAGCGAAGGAGAGGAAAGACTGAGGACTTCGATGGCCTGTGACAACAAGGAATATGGGTATGACTCCAAATCCAACATCTTCCCCACTGACAAGACTCCGCACAAGGGGAGGAATCCACATCAGAATCCTCCCAAGGGCAAGACCTGGGGCTGCCCCTTCTAGAGTGAAGCTGCTGAGAAGCACTGCCTAACTTACCCAGGAGAGCCACACAGCATTCAAAGTAAATGAATTTCCCCAGGGAAAGAGAGGAGAGGCAAAATAAATAGGCCTCTGCGAGGCAAAGATGAGGAGGGAAGTGAAGAGCTGCTCCCTGGCTGTTCCTAGAGGACACAGGACTGACGGAACGGCCTGAGAAGCAAACCGACTGGAACGCAGACAGGGCAAGCCTGGAACCTCAACGCCCCCGTTCTCACAGAACTTGGAATGCGTTTCTCTGAGCGATCCCTTCTCTCAATTTACCGTCCTGCCCTTCGGCCACTAGGTCAGCAACACCTATGTATGACTCAGTGGGTCCCCGGCCCAAAGCCTGAAAACAAGCTTCTCTGGGCAAGTCCGGCAGGGGAAAAGGAGGAAACCATTGGTGACAAATCCTCTTTGGGAATTTATTCATCTAAATATGAGAGAAGCTGGGAATGGATTTCTGTGAAGACAAGTGATCCAAGGGCTTCTGCCGCCAGACTAGCTTCCCTCCAAGGGTCAGTGAAAATGTAACTTCCCATAAAGTTTCATGGGAGGCCCTGCTTTGTACTAACAAAATAAGGCATAGAAAAGAAAAACTAAAGTGTGGGGTTTAGAAACCCCAGGATGGAGACAGTCTCCTTTGAAGATAGGCTGTGCCGTCTGCTTACCTCCACACGAGGCACAGCGGTCAAATCCAACCGCACCATCCGGTGGAGGAGAGCAGTCTCTCCACCCTGCAGTCACCAGGGAAGCTGACAGGAACCAGGAACCAGGAACCAGGAAGGTCCCCAGGTCATAAGGTGAGCACCAGCAGGGTGCAAGGGAGAGGAATCTGGAACTGGCGGCAGCAGCACCTCCAAGGCTCGTTAGCTCCTCTAGACCCTTCCTGTCAACAGTCTGCTTCATGCCTTTCACTGAAGGAGCTCCCGGTACCTCTGAACCTTGCCACAACCTTCAGGCAGTAAGAACTATCAGTCTGAGTTTCTGAGAAACTCAAAACTTGCGTATAATTAAATGTGAACCACCTACTGCAACATTCTGTCCATAACGTCCAGACCTAGCCCTTCCTAACCTCCTGATTACAAGAAGCACCCAAAAGAGAACCAGAGACAAACAATTCCTTTTTTGCACATGGAGAAAAACATAATTTTCAAGAAGCACTCTAATTCCTATCTCACATTAATTACTCTAGTACGTGAGGTTCTCTTAATCGACTTGGAAGCAGTTCACTGAAGCCTATTAAAGTAGTGCTTTAAGGGACTAATTAGTCTGTTTAGACGCTTGAGTCTTTAACTTGAGTTAATGATGTGTTGAGTCAGAAATTCAAGAGTCTGAGTTCTGAGCAGAGCAAAGAGACAACAGCAAATATGCAGATTAAATAAACAGTTAAAATATGTTTAGGTATTGAGGATTCTCTAAGAATCAGAACTGTAGTCTCTGTGACACACAGAGTCTACTGGGAGTGATGCCGGATGGGCTGGATTTGGACTGATGAACACTGGAATGTTATAGAATGGGAAATAATTAAGCTAAATACAAACACTTCCACACCCAAGGGAAAATAAAAGGCTTCAAAGGAAGTTTGCCAGAGGCCTGCAATCAATCCTAGCAGCTTGGAACAGTTGGCCAGAAAAGCCTAGGGCAGAATCCAGCACAGTGTTGTACAGATGTTACCTGCCCTTCTCTTTAGTAATAAAACTTGGAATATGTGTGTTTAACACATTTTCATTTTTATTCAAGATGCCGGTTTTCCTAGAGCCTAATTTCTCTTGGGGTCAGGTCAGTTCTGTTTGTAGATCTGGGAATTTTCTTCAATGTTATAATACTCTCTGTTCTTGAGATAATGGCCAGCATCAGCTCAGCAGAACCAAGAGGTCAGGCAATCTTCGTAAGGCAAGAAAGGGTCCCGCCAACTTACAAAGATCAATTTCTAGCACAGTCGCACCCCAGTCTGACAACACACAGGGCCTTGTACAGTCTCACACCATTACTTACTCATTTCTCTTACCTGCCTGATATTCTAAAATAAGGTGGAACTCATCCGCTTCCTGCAACGACTCTGGTGGAACGAAGACATTATCATCAAGAAGTTCATGCAGCTTTGGACCAACTGGACCGCAAAGAAGAATCTGGAGACAAGATAGAGGAAATCTATTAGGAGATCTGTCCCTTTTCCCATAGAATCTATACAGTAACCAACAGGGACATCCAGGCCACTTCTATTCATTTCAACAAAAAACTGGAATCCAAATCTAATTTTAAAAGCTTTTGGTTTGGAGGTATGTAGTAGAGGGGGCTATTAACCAGGGCTTGGGCCTCTGGAGGGAACGGCCACCGGAAATGAGGGGCTGACAAAAGACCCGAGTCACACCTGTTAGATACCTACGCAGCTGTGGAATCTCACACACTCTGTAAGTGACTGAATGTTTGTGTCCTCCTCCAAATTCCTATGTTGAAGCCTAACTGCCGATGTGACAGTATTTGGAGACAGGGCTTTCAGGAGGTAATTAAGGTCAAATGAGGTCATTAAGGTCAAATGAGGTCATATGGGTGCAGTCCTAATCCAGGAGGATTGGTGGCCTCCTAAGAAAAGAAAAAGGGAGAGCTCGATCTCGCTCTTTCCAACATGCCCACTGAAGAAAGGCCATGTGAGGACGCACCAGAAGGTGCTGCAAGCCAGGAAAGAAGCCCTCACCAGAAACCGGACCCTGCTGGAACCTTGATCTTGGACTTGCCAGCCTCAGAGTTGTGACAAAATAAATTTCTGCTGTTGAAGCGGCCCAGCCTATGGCATTTTGTTATTATGGCTGTCGAAGCAAACTAAGACACACCCCACCCCCACTTTCTTTTCTTTACTCTCTCATCCTCTGTAGGCAAACAGATGATGGCATGTTGTCTACTCAGAGTTGCCTGATGAAAACAATTCTGTTTGAATTTTACACAGTACAGAAAAGAGCCTCAGAATCACAATATGGCCCTCCAATCAGAGGACCTAATTTGTGGGATCGGGCTCCCTATTATACTTGGCTGTTATGTAAGCAGGACAGCCTTCCAGAGATGGGAATTAAAGAGCACCTCAATTCAGCAAGTTGGGAGGCAGGTGCTCTGAAACTTTCCCTAAACCTTTTCTTCAACTCCAACCTGGGACTCTACCTGGCTATCCCTTCTAGAAGTCATTTCACATCTACTGCTGCTCTGCCAGGCAGGCTCTGGACCCCTCTCACAGCCAGGCCAACGGGCTCAAAACCACCAAACAATGAGGGCTTGGACAGCGACGTAAAGGAAAGTCCCCAGAGATGATCAACACCATGTCAGATTTAATATGCCCCACCCAGAAACTTCAAAAGGCGTTTTACTTGCTAATTAACTGCTTGCTTGTACAGCTACAACTTTACTTGTTTTCTCTAATTCCTGGGCAGAACTTCAGCCTCCAAGATGAGAGATCACAGGCCAAATTTACCCTCCTGCCCAAAACAACAAAAACAGACAAAATACATGAAACAATGGTTTTTACAACATTTGGACACAACAACAAAGGACAGTGATCCCTAACAGGAAAAAAACCGAACTGAGTAAGACCTACAAATGCCACATCAAATTAAAGGATTGTTTCCAGATATACAAAATCTGAAAGAGTTCATCATCAGTAGACCTGCACTATAAGAAAGGTTAAAGGAAATCCTTCAGGCACAAGTTAAATGATACCAGATGGAAATAAGGATCTAAACAAAGGAATGAGGAGCACCAAAAATGGTAACTCTGGATAAGTATATAAGATCTTTTTCTTATTATTTAAATCTTTTTAAAAGAGAATCAACTGTTTAAAGAGCAATATTAACAACACAGGATGAGGTTTATAATATACACGGAAGTAAACCATATGACAACAACACTAAAGACCAGAGAAAAGAAATGGAAGCACCTATTTATTATAAAGTCCTTAGATTATACATTAGGTATGATATCACTGACAGTAGACCGTGATGGCTAAAAATGTACACTATAAATCTTAAAGCAACCACTAAAATAACAAGGAATTATAGCAAATAAGCCAGAAGATAATCTGAAAGCATAGAAAATAATTCAAAAGAGTGCAGAAAAAGAGGAAAAAGGGAAGATAAAGAGGTGGGACAAACAGAAAACAAAGAGCAAGATGTCAGACTTAAACCTAATCTATTAACAAATACATTAAGTGCAAATGGCCTAAATAGCCCAAGTAAAGGAGACTGTCAAAGTGAATTAAAAAGTAAGCCCCAAATATATGCTGCCTACAAAAAATATATTATTTATTAATTATGAAATCTAAGTCACCATTTTATTTACTTTGCAACCAGACTTGTATGTTGTTTTTATCTGGACACATTATTATTATTATTTTTATTTTTATTTATTTTTTATTGAAGTATAGTTGACACACAATGTTACATTAGTTTCAAGTGTACAATATAGTGATACAACAAGTCTACATGTTATGCTATGCTCACCACAGGTGTAGCTACCAACACTATTACAATACCATTGACTACAATTCCCTCTGCTGAACCTTTCATCCCCATGACTTTTTCATTCCACAACTGGAGGCCTGTACTTCCCACTCCCCTTCACCCATTTTGCCCATCCTCCCACTGCCCAAGGAATACATTTTAAATATAAAGACACCAATAGGTTAAAACAGAAAAATGGAAAAAGATATGTCACACTAACACTAATCAAAAGAAAGCTACAATGGCAATTGTAACCAAAACAGATTTTAGAGCAAATATTATGAAATGATTTTCTTTATCCCTGGCAATGATAAAGAGGTCAATTCATGAAGAGGATACAGCAATCATAAATAGTTAGGTATACACTTAATGACAGGGCTTAAAAATATATGAAGCACAAAGTTATAGAATTGTAAGGAATAGATAAATCTATAACTATAGATGAGGATGTTAATACTTGCCTCTCAATAACTGATAAATCAAATAGACACAAAATCAGTAAGAATATAGAAGACCTAAACAACACTACCAACCAACTTGGCCTGACATTTATAAAATGTTCCATCCAACAACAGCAGAATATAACTCTCCCTCTTCCTCTGCCCTCCCACTCCCCCCATTCTCCCTGGCATCCATGCTCTCTCTCTCAGATAAACAAAATCTTAAACAAACAAACAAACAAACAAAAAAGACTTTACTAAGATAGACCATATTCTAGGTCATAAAAAAAGTCTCAATAAATTTAACAGGATCAAGAGAAGCATATTCTCTGACCACAATGTAATTAAAATAGAAATCATCAGCAGAGGGCGCCTGGGTGACTCAGTCGATTAACCATCTGCTCAGGTCATGATCCTGGGGTCCTGGGATTGAGTCCCTCATCGGGCTCCCTGCTCTGCAGGGAGTCTGCTTCTCCCTCTGCCCCTCCTCCCACTCATTCTCTCAATCTCTCTCTCTCTCAAATAAATAAATAAAAATCTTAAAAAAAAATCATTAGCAGAAAGATATCTGGAAACACCCCCAAGTGTTTAGAAAGAGCTCATACACTTATAAATAGTTCATGGATGGGCTATCAAATAGCCCATCTCAAGAAATCACAGGGTTATTAGAAAGCACTTTGAATGGAATGAAAAAAAACTATAATGTATCAAAATCTGTGGGATGCAGCTAAAGAAGTACTTAAGGGGAAATTTATAGCACTAAACACCTAGATCAGAAAATAAAGTCTCAAATCAATGACATCAGCTTCTACCTTAAACTAGGAAAAAAAAGAGCAAGTTAAACAACATGAACAAAACTAATGAAATACAAAAGAGAAAAATCAATGAAACCTAAAGTTCATTATTTATTGAAAAGATCAGTAAAACTGATTAAACTCTAAGCAAAGAGGAAAAAAAAAAAGATCACAAGGGGAAGTTGCAGAGAGGAAAGATCCTGAGCTCATCTCCTCCCACAGACACACTGAGGCTGCAACAACATATAAAGCAACTCTCTCTGAGAACAACCTGAAGATTAGCAGAACAACTCTTCCACATTAAAGACATAAAGAAAAAGACATACTGAGAAGTGCAGAAGTGACAGAGACACAGTCTGGTCGGGACCCAAACCCCCAGCGTCCTGACCCACAAGTAGGAGGGATATCATAGGTGTGGAGGTCCTCCCTAAGGAGTGAGGGGTTCAAACCATACACTGGGCACCCCCTGCCCTAGGGATCTGCACTGGAAGGAGGAGCCTTTATAATGTCTGGCTTTGAAAATCAGTGGGGCTTAGCTTTACGGGAACAAGAGGGTTATAGTAGACTGACACTTCACTACTAAAGGGCTTACACAGAATCTTACTCATGCCAAGACCCAGTGCAGAGGCAGCAGTTTGAAAAGCACCTGGGCCATAGAAGAGATTTGACTAACTTCAGGGACAGGGATCTGCAGGAACTTTCTCTGTGAATAGAAGCATTAGCAGGTACCATATTTTGCCCTCCTTCAGCCTAGCTGGCCTGACACTAGGAAACAAAAGTTCTAGCACTTTCTATCTACTTTACCACCACTGCTCACCCTGCTCCGGCATTTCCCTGTAGACCTGCTCTGCCCGACCTGCCCACCCCAGCAGGTACCCCCTCCAAAGTGGTTCTTACCCCACCACACCTGGTGGGCAGCTGGGATCTGCACCTGTCCAAGGTGACTCCTGCCCCAGGAAGGGGCAGGCCAGCCCCAACCACCAGTACCCCTGCAGCAGCCACAGCCTCTGAGCTAGCCAGGCAAACCCAACCACAACGTGCCTACAGCACTTGCAGCCCAGACACAACAGATGGGTACGTGCGGCCCACACAGGTGGCACCCCAGAAGTGCCTCTGCTTGACCAGGGGTGACTGCACTTCTGGGCCCCAAAGGATACCTTCTACACAAGGCCAGCACCTTCAAGACCAGAAGATGTGAATGAACTACCAAATACGTAGGAACAAACAGAGAGACCAACAAAATGAGACAGAGAAATATGTTCCTAAGAAAGACCTCAGAAAAAAGAACTAAATGAAACAGAGAAAAGCAGTCGACCTGATAAAGAGTTCAATGTAATTAATGGTCATAGAGACGTTCACTGAACTTGGGAGTGGATGAACTCAGTGCAAACTTCAACAAAGAGAAAATATAAAAAGAACTAATCAGAGCTGAGCAATAACTGCAATGAAAAATACACGAGAGGGACTCAACAGCAGACTGGAGGATGCAGAAGAATGGATCAGTGCTCTGGAAAGCCATCCAAGCTGAACAGCAAAAGAAAGCAAAAAGAAAGAAGAAGAAGAAGAAGAAAAAATGAGGACAGATTAAGGGAACCTCTGGGACAATATCAGGCAAAATAACATTAGCATTATAGGGATCTCAGAGGAAGAAACAAAGGGACAGAAAACTTATCTGAAGGCATAACAGCTGAAAACTTCTCCAACCTGGGGGAGGAAACAGACAGCCAGGTCCAGGAAGCACAGACAGCCCCAAGCAAGATGAAGCCAAGCTTAAAAGCAGCAGGAGAAAAACAACTAGTTATGCACCCAGGAACACCTATAAGACTACTGGCTGATTTTTCAGCAGAAACTTTGCAGGCCAGAAAGGAGTCCTATGATATATTCAAAGTGCTGAAAGGAAAACACCTATGATCAAAGATACCAAGGATATGGCACCCTGCAGAACTGTCATTCAGAACTGAAAAAGTGATAAAGAGTTTCCCAAACAAAAGTTAAAAGGAGTTCACTACACTAAACTGACCTTATAAGAAATATTAAAAGACTTTTTTAAGCAGAAATGAAGAGGCCGTAACTAGAAGAAAATTATGAAAGAAAAAGTCTCTACTGGTAAAAGCAAACATATAGTAAAGGTAGTAGATAAGTCACTCATAAAGTCAGTGTGAAGGTTAAAAGACAAGAGTAAAATCAACTAAATCTACAATAACTAGTTAAGAGACACACAAAATTTTTAAAAATGTAAAATATGATTCCAAATACATAAAACATGGGGTGGAGGGAGTCAAAACATAGTGCTTTTAAAATGTGTCCAACTGGGCGCCTGGGTGGCTCAGTTGGTTAAGCGACTGCCTTCAGCTCAGGTCATGATCCTGGAGTCCCGGGATCGAGTCCCGCATCTTGCTCCCTGCTCAGCAGGGAGTCTGCTTCTCCCTCTGACCCTCCTCCCTCTCATGCTCTCTGTATCTCATTCTCTCTGTCTCAAATAAATAAATAAAAAAAAATCTTGGGCGCCTGGGTGGCTCAGTTGGTTAAGCGACTGCCTTCGGCTCAGGTCATGATCCTGGAGTCCTGGGATCGAGTCCCGCATCGGGCTCCCGGCTCGGCGGGGAGCCTGCTTCTCCCTCTGACCCTATCCCCTCTCATGCTGTTTCTCTCTCTCTCTCAAATAAATAAATAAATAAAATCTTTAAAAAAATAAAATAAAATAAAATAAAATAAAATGTGTCCAACCATCAATTTAAAATAGACTGCTATATATGGGATGTTATATACGAACCTCATGGTAACTGCAAACCAAAAACCTACAACAGATACACAAAAAATAAAGGAATCCAAGCGCAACACTAAAGAAAGCCATCAAGTCACAAGGCAAGAGAGCAAAAGAACAGAGAATAACTACAAAAACAACCAGAAAACAATTAACAAAATCGCAATAAGTACATACCTATCAATAATTACTTTAAATGTAAATGCACTAAATGCTCCAATCAAAAGACACAAGGGTGAATGAGTGGATGAAAACACCGGAACTTGCTGCC